TGTTTTGGAGACAGGGTCTTGCTGTGCATACCAGGCTGGTCTGGGAACTCATTATGTAGCCTGGGCTGGCTTTGGACTCAATCCTCTTGTGTCTGTTTGAGTGCCAGAATGCTGTGTACTATCATGCTTGGTAACAGTGATTTTTAAAAATGATAATGAGGAATATTATGAAAAACTTATGCCAATAAATTTAACAATTTAAAAGAAATAGTCAAATTCATTTTTGAAGCTGGACATCGATCTACCATTTGATCCAGCAATACCACTCTTGGGGATATACCCAAAAGACTGTTACTCCAGAGGCACCTGCACATCCATGTTTATTGCGGCACTATTCACAATAGCCAAGTTATGGAAACAGCCAAGATGCCCCAGCACTGACGAATGGATTAAGAAAATGTGGTATCTATACACAATGGAATTTTATGCAGCCATGAAGAAGAACGAAATGTTATCATTCGCTGGTAAATGGATGGAATTGGAGAACATCATTCTGAGTGAGGTTAGCCTGGCTCAAAAGACCAAAAATCGTATGTTCTCCCTCATATAGTGGACATAATAATCAAGGGCAAAACACAACAAGGGATTGACTATGAGCACATGATAAAAAAGTGAGAGCACACGAGGTGAGGATAGGGTAAGACACCTAAAAAACTAGCTAGCATTGTTGCCCTTAATCAGAGAAACTAAAGCAGATACCTTAAGCAACTGAGGCCAATAGGGAAAAGGGGACCAGGAACTAGAGAAAAGGTTAGATCAAAAAGAATTAACCTAGAAGTAAAACCCACGCACAGGAAATCAATGTGAGGTCAATGCCCTGTATAGCTATCCTTATCGCAACCAGCAAAACCCCTTGTTCCTTCCTTATATTGCTTATACTCTCTCTACAACAAAATTAGAGATAAGGGGCAAAAATAGTCTCTGCTGGGTATTGGGGGGGAGCGGGAGGGGGTGGAGTGGCAGGGGGAGAAATGAACCAAGCCTTGTATGCACATATGAATAATAAAAGAAAAATGAAAAAAATAAAATAAAATTCTAATCATATCAAAAATAAAATAAAATAAAAGTTAAAAAAAATAAAAAATGTTTACTAAAAAAAAAATTCATTTTTGAAAGATAAACCTTGAAACATTAAAATTTTAAGGTGTTTATTTGAGCAAATTCATGAATTGAGTAGCTTCAAACCAGAAGTGGTTCAGGGTTCTGCCAGAGCGAGGTTGAGGGAAGGGTTTTATAGTGTTGCTCTGGAAGCAGAACAAATTATTTGCTTGGCTGAAGAGTGAGAAATTGCCTTCTCTGGACTGTCCAAATGAGAAGTTCAAGAGCATGTAACAATGCCCAGATGGACATCTGTGGTTGGCTGAGCTTGTTTCAATTTGCTTCCAAGGGCATTTGAGCTGCCTCTGTCTAATGGCCCTCATTTAGTTATTTGAATATTTGAAAAGCACAGTGAACCAAAACTGAGTCAAGGTGAAATTTTTAAAAATCAGAGTAGCCTTATATATCTTGTAAAGAAATTGAATTCATTATAAGGAATCTCCAAACAAAACTTGCCAGCCCAAATGGTTTTATTGGTAAATTCTGTTAAATATTTAAGGGAGAAATGATACAAATCTTAAACAAATTGTTGTTTTATGATGCAAGCATAAATAACATGAAAACTTGACAAAGGCATTATAAGAAAATTGCAGGTCAATAATCCTTATGAGCACGGATGGAAAAAAATTGTGAAAGTACTAGTAGAGTGAATGCAGAAATATATGAAAAGGATGATGCATCATGACCAAGATGAACTTATCCCAGGAATGCTAAGTTGGTTTAACATTCAAAAATCAATTAAAGGTGGAGCTGGTGTGTGGCTCAAGTGGTAGAGTGCCTGCTTAGCAACCTCAGTGCCCTGACTTCAACACCCCCATCACTGCCAAATTTTTTTTTTTAAATCAGTTAAATCAAGAGCTGGAGTAGCTCAAATGGTAACATACCTGTCCAGCAAGTGTGAGGCCCTGAATTGAAACCCCAGTGCTGAAAAAAACAAAAATAACAACAACAAAAAAAATTAAAAACCTACAAAGAACAATACAAAAAATAGTCAATAAAATTTAATATATTATTAGCAGAATGTATGATCACCTCAATAGACATGGAACATTTTTTGAAAAATTCAACACCCATTCATGACAAAGACTCTTAACAAATCAGAAATAAAAGTGAACTTCATTAACCTGATAAAGGGCATCTCAGATAAACCTAGAAATGTCAGCATAATTAATGTGAAATGTTGATCATTCTACTGAAATCCTTTTTGTTGTTGTCGTTGAGTTGGTTGTTTTTGTGGTATTGGGATTCAACCCAGCATCATCTTGAGCATGTCACGCAAGTGCTCTGCTACTTGAGCTACTTCCCTACCCTCAAAAGACTCACCTTATGCATATCTCTTAATTAATAATGATAAAGTCTGATTTTTAAATGAAGATGTCTCCTCCTAGATGTCAGAGTGGTACTTAAACTTATCATTGGAAATGAAGTTTGTTCTCAGACATTATTTTATTAGCTCCCTAAACTGTGTGTGTGTGTGTGTGGTATTGGGGATTGAATCCAGGGCCTCACACTGGCTAGGCAGCTCTCTACCAAGCAAGCTTTTCCCCCACCTCCCATTGAGATTCATGAGAAGAGAGTCAACTCACCACTTTTATTTAACTTTCTGTTGGAGGCCGTAAGTAGTGCAATAAGGAAAGGAAATGATATAAAATGCACTAAAATTGGGAATGAAGTAAAATTATAAGAAGTGAAAATATAAGGAAATAAAATAAAAGTTATAAAGATATGGAAGGAAGAAGTAAAATGGCATTCACAAATGTCCACTATTGTTTGTACCAGAAAAATTTAAGGGATGTACAGAATGATTACTAGAACTAATTAGTAAATCTGGGAATGTTGCCTGATATAAGGCCAAGAAACAAAAATCATTTGCATTTTTATATAGTAGCAACAATTTGAAATTGAAATTTAATATTTCTCTATTTTTAGCATATATTAAATTGTACAAAATAATGGGTTTCACTATGACATTTTCATACGTGTATATAATGTACTTTGATCATATTTCCCCTCATGGTCCTCTCTTGTCTCTTCTCCCCTCTTTTGAAAATGAAAAATTGAAAAGTCTATTTACAGTAACACTAGAGCACATAAAATACTTAAGAATAAATTGAACCAGGTGCTGGTGGCTCACCCTGTAATCCTAGCTATTCAGGAGGACTAGATCAGGAGGATAGAGATTCAAAGCCAGGAAATAGTTTGTGAGACCCTATCTTGAAAAAACCCATCACAAAAAAGGGCTGGTGGAGTGGCTCATGTGGTAGAGCGCCTGCCTATCCAGCAAGTATGAGGCCCTAAGTTCAAATCCCAGTATCACTAGGAAAAAAAAAAGAGCAAATTGAATATAATACATATAATCTCTGTATTCTGGAAACTATAAAGTATCATTGAGAGAAATTAGAGAACTAAGTAAATGGAAGGGGTACAATGTTCATGAACTAGAAGACTCAATATTGTCAGTCCTCCCTGAGTTCATCTGTAGGTTCAATGCAATTCTGATCAAATTCCCAATAGGTTTTTTTAATTGAAATGTTAATTTGTATTTCATATGGATATGTAAAAAACCTGGCTATTGGAATAGCCAATGCAATATTTACAATGAGAAATGAATCTGGAGGACTCAGTCATTCCTTATGTCAAGACTTACTTGAAATCTTCAGTAACCAAAAAAAGTGGCATCGTTGCAAATAGGAGATATAATGAGGTAGAGACCTCAGCGGTGGATCTGCACACATGCAGTCAACTGAGTTTTTGACAAGGCTGTTCAGTGGGGGAAGGAAAAATTTTCAATAAATGGTGACAGTACAATTATAAGTATGGAAAAAATGAACTTAGGCTCCTGTGTCACACCACAGCAAAATTAATCTGCCATAGTCATAGACCTAAAAGCTAAAAATACAAACTCTTAAAAAAAACACGGAATACCTTCATGACCTTGAGGTAGGCAAAGATTTATGAAAGGGCACACAAAAAGCAATAAACAAGAAAAAACATAAATTGGATTTCCTCAATATAAACTTCTCATTAAAAGTTTGTTGTTTGCTTTGTTTTCTTGGTTTTTGGAACTGGGGGCTCAGGCAAGTGATCTACCACTTAAGCCCCGCTCCCAGCCCTAAAAGCTGGTTTTTAAAAAATGGTAAGCCACAGAGGATATTTTGAATACTTATATTTGACGATTTTGCATCCAGAATAACTCCTGTAATTCAACGAAAACAAAGCAAACAACAGCAACAGCACGCACACAAAACCCTCCCAGCAAAAGCCACTAGCGGATGCCTCACAAAAGAAGTTACACGAATGGCCACTGAGAACACGTAAATGTGCCGAACACCGCTAGCTACATTAATTAAAATTAAAACCACAGTCGTATTTCACACGACTAAGACAGAATGTAACATAAATAAATAAATAAATACTAAAGGACCAGTGTGTGTCCAGGGGCTGTGGGAATGGAAATTGGTAGGGCGGGTTTGCAGAGCAGGTAAAACACAGGGTCACCCTAGGACCTGGCGCATGGGGAGACGTGATGACAGCTGCATACGCTTCTCAAGATTCTTTGAGTTGCACACTTACACTGCGCGCCTTGGACTGTGTCTAAACTTGCCCGTTATAAATGCAAACTTAAAAAGATGAAATACAGGCAGTTCGCAGGGGGGCAGGTGGGTCACCCTGGGCCAGGAAAGGAAACTGCGCTGCGCTGGGAGGTGCGGCGCCCCCTGCCCGGCCCGGCCTGGCCCGGCCCGTCCGACTGGTTGCAGTTTCGATTTGTCCCCCCTGCACTGTATGCATGTGCCCAGCAGCTGGCTTCCTGGGGATCGATTTCTCAGAAAGCCCCTCCCCTCGGGCTGGCCGCGACCTCGCCGGTCGCCGCGCAGTTGGTCGGGCCTCGCCGAGCCGGCGGCATGACCTCAGAGCAGCGGCAGAACCTGCTGGCCTTCGGAGACTATGTCAGGAAGACGCTGGACCCCACCTACATCCTCAGCTACATGGCGTCCTGGCTTAAGGAGGGTGAGTGGCCACTATGGTGTCCCCAGAGAACAGAACCCTGGCTTCTCTCCCTTTCTAACCGGTAGGCTTCTAGGAGCAGTGGGCTTGTGGCAGGATCCCCACAGCGTTTTACATCAGAGCCCTTGGAGGCCTAGATGACAAAACTGAGTCGCAGCGAGGTGGAGTCACTTCTTAGGTTCAAAGCTGAGGAAAGAAATGGTTGCCCCTTTCATTTACTTTAGACGACCGTGTCCTTGGTGTTGTGCTGCAGCCCAAGGCTTCGAGGGAGGGGTGTGTGACGGGCCAGGGCTGATACACACAAATGATTAAAATACAGCGGTAGGAAGTGCTGTCCAATCAAAGGAACCTGTAAGTCTCCAGGTCTTAATCGCCCTAGTGAATAACAGGAAGCTGCAGAGAACCAAGGCTCTCCCCAGACTGGACCGTGTTCAGGCTTTAGTACAAGCGTTTCCATTTAGTTTTTGAGACATGACCCTGGATAATGGCCACTTTGTAAATTGTGTTGAATTGCTTTCTGTTGGAGATGAATGAGCCCAGGCTTCCCCAAGAGAAGGAAGGGAGGTGCTGCTTGGAGGAAGTCCAGGTGAGAGAGGGGATCTGGCAGTTCCTTTGAAATCCCTAAGTGCTAAAAGCCTTTCCTGATGTTAGACAGTTTGGGTAACTCGGGTGCTTCATCGCTCTGTAAAACCAAACCACAGGTTGTGGAGTGAGGAGTTAAAGAGTGCCACCAACAGAAGTGGACCTTCACTCTCTCGTTGTGCCCAGAGGGAATAAAATGGGATCCTAATTCACAGAGTATCATGGTCTATGCAAGATCTCTCTCTTAAGAATTCCTGGATGAAACACTAACAGACTGATGGGACTCCCATTTTTTCCATGCATTCATATCTTGATTCAATAAGCATTGACTGAATAAAATAAGCAATGCAAAGCAGACATTATATTGGGTTGGAAGTGATTCACTATGCATCTGTTAAATTAGGAGCTGAGGAATTCCAGGTGAGCACAGTGGCAATGGTTCCTGCTAACAAATTTAGACTGTCTGTGGGAGGGCAAGATAGCTAGGTAGCCACCTAGTGTCAAGGGGACAGGCAGAACTTCCAAGATAGGTGGCATTTGAACTGAGGTCCAAGACAGGAGAGTCAGTTGGAGGGAGACAAGCCATGCAGGCTCATGGTACAAAGGTCCAAGGTGAAAGGTAAACAGCAGGTCCAGGAATCCAGAGAATATCACTGTGGTTTAAGTGTGAAGGGGAGGTAGGATTTAAGAGGAATGAGACTTGACAGACAGCCAGAAGTGGGGAATGTCAAGTTTGGGACTTTATCCACTGAATAGATAAGGTGGGGAGGTGAAATTATTTTTTTGGTTGCAGAAAAACGACTGGCTACAGTTTGAGGAATTGGTTAGGTAGAAGACTGGGAGAATGGGGACTGGCACATTAAAAAATTCCTAGACAATGGAGTGGCAAAACTGGAGGCAGAAAGCTTGGTGTGGTGGTGCACATACATAATCCCAGCCCTTGGGAGGCTGAAAGAGGAGGCTCTCAAGTTTGAAGCCAGCCTGGGCTACACAATGAGACTTCAGGATACATTAAAAAAGTATAATTAGTAGTACTCAGGTGAGCAAGGGAGGGGAGGGCAGGTGGAGAATGGCTCTGAGATAGGAAGTATTGGAGGGATAGGTTTGCAGGGGAGGATGAGGGTTCATGTTTGGGTATGCTGAGACTGTGTGGTCTGCAGGCATCCAGGAAGAGATATCAGATTATTGGCTGCATGAGGTCTGGGGCTCAGAATAAAAGATCCTACCTGAAGCAAAGAATGGGTGAGGTTGCCCATTGGAGGGTGAGTAGAAAGAGCCTGGAACAGAATCCTGAGAAATTCAGTCATTGATGAGATGAGCAAAGGAAGAAAGAGCTGGGGAAGCTTGGCCCTCTGCGTTTACAAGGAAGCATCATGACAACCAAGGGAGAGTAAAAGTGGATCACTGCATTGAGTTATAAGAGCTTAAGCAACATCAGAGCTAAATCAAAACAAAACAAAACAAAACAACCCTTCCCCCCCCTTTGATTGTGGCATTGTAGACCTTGGGGCCACTCATAGGAGTAGTTTCTGTGGAAAGGTAGTGGGGTGAAGGTATAAGATGGTGGGGAAACTGAGGGGACTGGGCATGGTGGCTTTACAGCTATAATCCCATCTCCTCAGAAGGTAGAGGTGAAAAGGATTAAGGTTTGAGGCCAGCCCATACAAAAAAGTTAGCAATACCCCCATCTCAACAAACAAGCTGGGTGTGGTGGTACACAACTGTAATAGCCGTCCTGGAGGTGTAGATAGGAGGATTGTCATAGGGGCTGGCTTAGGCAAAAGCACAAGATCCTATCTGAAAAATTAATAAAGCAGAAAGGGCTAGGAGTGTGGCTTAAGTGAAAGAGCACCTGCCTAGCAAGCACAAAACCCTGAAATCAAGCCCAAACTCTAGTATGCAAAAAAAAAAAAAAAAAAAAAAGGAAACCGAGGCACTGAGGAATAAATAGAAGGCAAGGCAGGGGAGAAAGTAAATGTGGGCAGTTGTTTTGAAAACAAGAGGGCAAGATGACCGTGGAAACAGTGCTTTCTAGCATGCTCACAAAATCCAGGCCACACAGTTTGGGTACAATGTGGATTCCAAGGAAGAAGATAACAAAAGAAGAGTGAAAATAAATAGGAAAACATTTATGTCTCTAAAAAACAAGCAGCATGTTTTATACGAGTTTATTGAGAAGGGACTCATGTCTCTACATACACTGGTCGGACTTTCAAACATCTGAGGTGAAGTGGTAACAAAAGCATTCCAGAAAAACAAAACAAATAAGGTGGCTGAGGTTTCTGTCTCGGCTCTTGTTTTTTTTTGGCAGCACTGGGATTTAAACTCACACCACCAGCTCTAGACAAGATCTCTCATCATGGAGCCAGCATCAAATCGGTGTCTGACCTCTCTGTAATTCTCATGTAATTATGCAATAGCACCGTGTGCATTCTGTGTATCCAGCCAGGTTTCCATGTGTACACATTAGAAAACGTTATTGTATATGTGATATCTCATTCATCCCTTATGAAAGTTAGTTGAAACATTACACACAATTGAAAGCGCAAGAAAGTAATAAAAAGAGCAACCCTGGAATATAAGCATTGATAATGAACGTTGAAACCAGGCGTGTACAGTTAACTTTTAATTGCTTTATAAATCTGGCCACGAAAGTAATCACAGCAGCCAAGCATTTTTTAAAAGATAATTTATAGTGAAAACTGTTATGCTTTTAAAGGAATAATTCGGATTACAAAATAAATCAGATGGAATTGCTCTTAAAAGGGTACTGCATTTCTGTTTGGGAAGATGAAAAGGTCTGGACATACACAGTGGTAGTGGGGAAAAGCACTGTGAAGGGTTTTTTTTTTTTGTGGCAGCACTGCGGTTTAAGCTCAGGTTCATGTTTGCAAAGCAGGCACTAGATAGCTTGAGGCACGTCTCCAGTCCCCTATGAATGTAAATTAAATGTCACTGAATTATAAGCTTAAATGTTAAAATGGTAAAATACATGTTATTTATTTTTTACCACATTAAAAAAGGAAAAATTAGAAAGGAAGAAAATGTCAGTGAAAAGCTAGAGAATATATGATGACAAATGTAAAACTCCTTGGCTCAAAAGGGAAGCATCCCAGTATAATCTTTGTCTGCAAAGTTAAAGACAGTGGTACAGCAATGTCAAAGTGATTGTATATGTCTTATTGTTCTAGAAAGGAAAAAAAAATGTGTCATGTAACTTAAGATAACCAGGAGACAGGAAAGGGAAGTATAAAACAAGGTAACAAAAGGAAGACTAGTTTTATCAGTTATGGGCATGTAGTAAGTCAAATGTCTTTAATGAGTTTAAGTGAATTGTTATCTGTAAGGGGTCTATCCAAAGTAAAACCAAAAGTAAAGACTGAAGAAACAAAAATATATTAAGTAAATGCAAATGAAAATAAAGCAAGAGATACAATTTTAATACTAAAAAAAAGTATTGTACTGGCAGAAAGTATTAGGATAAAAAAAAGATACCTAAGTTGGGCACCAGTGGCTCCCATCTGTAATCCTAGCTAATTGGGAGGCTGAGATCAGGAGGATCATGGTTTGAGGCCAAACCAGGCAAATAGTTTGAGAGAACCCATCTTCAAAATAACCAGAAAATGGAACTAGAGGTGTTGCTCAAGTGGTAGGGCTCCTGCTTTGCAAGGAGCAAAGTTCAAACACTTTAGTGTACCTAATTCACAATGAAGCTATGGTACATATGAATCTTTGCATACTAAATGCAACAAAAAAATCCTTAAAAAAATCCAAAAATTTGGAAATTATTAAGACATTTTTTGTTAGTATTGGTAAATCAGAGCATTGATAATAAACATAAAAATGATTTGTTTACTGTCATAAAGTCGATCTAAGTGGCTATATTACAATTGTGTACCCTATAAATAGTAAATATATCTTATTCTCCAGTTCTTAAGAAGCTTTGTCAAATATTAGATCCTAAATTACAGATAAATCTTTAGTTACAAAGCATAGCTTATAACTCCACTGTTTCAATATCCTCATTGGTAAGCTGAGAATAACATTTGGATTTTTGGTAATTAAAGTGAATGGCGCTAAATAAGTGTTAGGTATTGTTTTATATCCCTGAAATGAATCATAGGAGTTTAAAAGAATTATCAAATAATTTCAAAGTAGCATATTTTAGTAACTCCTAGTTGAAAGAGTAAAGCAAGATAATTATATGCATTTTCAAAAGTAAGGATGACAATCAGCCCACATACTACATTTTTTTTTTTGGCAGTACTGGGGGTTGAACTCATGGCCCCTGAACTTGCTAGGCAGGTGCAGTGTTACTTGAGCCACTCCACCAGCTCTATGTTACATATTTTATGATCTAGCTAAGCATCTAGTCAGAAGAAAGTTTATTAGCCCAAATGGATTTACTGGTATCTCAAAAGAATGAAACTAATTAATGATTTTGACTCACTTACAAAACAAAACAATACCCCTCCCAAAAAACTCCACAACTAAAACATCAGAAAACCCTAAGGAAAGGATATTGTCTGAAATAAAGAGCAACAAAAGTTTCTCCAAAGTATTGGAACTAATATAGTTCATTCAGTCTTACTGTAATAGATGTTTAAAAACTAATTATGTCTCGTATCCTGGGGAAACCAGTTAGAAGGTACAAAGGATCCTTACAGGTTCAGTTCAGAAAAAGGATGAATGACTCCTCCAGAAAACTAGCTGTGGGACCAGGAACAGGAAATTTATTTTTTAAAAAAACACAGTGACCAAAGGAGGAAGCATGAAATCTTTAAAAGCTCTGGCATTTGTTTGGTCTGTTTGTGCAAATTCAGCATTGTGGAGAGAAACAGGCATTCATGCATTGTTGATGGTGATAAATGAGTTAAGTTTGTCTGTAGTTTAGGTGCCTTAGTCAGAGGCCTGTGAAGAGGGTAATCCAGCACAGAGAAGACAGCAAGGAATTCTTACTTGGGAAGCTGAAGATGGTGTCACAAAGGAACCCTCAGATCAGTGAAGGCAGTGGGAATTACTGAGTTTCCCAAAAGATAGGGTTTTTCTGCATTGAACCCCCTATGCTTTTGAGGAAATGATCACTGCCTTGGAGCAGCAGGTATTGGAGCCAGCTAGCAGAAGGATGGGCCATACCGTGTGCAACGGATGTCTCAGCTGCCCAGGATATGACTAGATGATGTACCTGGGCAGGCCCCCGCTGCGGCTTTAAATCTGTGTGCATCATTCATGGCTGGTAGTATGTCTAAGGGAAGATTGGGCATCAGGGAGAAAGGATACAGCTGTGAACACCGAGTTTAGGAATAGGATAGACTGACTCAAAGGAATAGGGTGAGGTTGTGGGCCCAGGAAAGCTGGGATGAGTGACAAGATAGGTTGGTGTTACAAGCTGAATTGTTTTCAAACAGTTATGTTGAAGTCCTAATTCCCAATACTTCAGAATGCTAATCTGATTTGAAGACAGGGTTTTTACAGAGGTAATTGGTTACCATGAGGTCATACTGGAGTCTAATGGGCCCTTCATCCAGTATGACTATTGTCCTTACAAGAGGATGGCCATGTGTAGCAACATCCATAATCAGGAAAGTGTGGCAGCTTTTTTCTAGCTTTTCTTCCAGTGACTTACAGCTCTGCAGGGTAATAGTCATTCTTGCTTCTGTTTGTAGATGAAATACAGTATATTCAGGCTGAGAGAAACAACAAGGGCCCGAAAGAGGCTGCCTCGGTTTTTCTTCAGTTCTTGTTGGAGCTCCAGGAAGAAGGCTGGTTCCGTGGCTTTTTGGATGCCCTAGGTCAAGCAGGTGAGTTCATTCTGCTTACTCACAAATCAGGATAGAGTACTGTGCTGTGTCAGAATGCTGTAAAAGGGAAAAGCTGTTAATTTCAAAGTATTAACATAGTTCATTGTTTATGTCCCTTAGTCAGAGGCAAGGTAGACTGTTTTCAGGAAGATGATAGAATTGTCTACCTGAAACAGCCAAAGGGATCTACAGAGAGATTATTTTAACTAATGGAAGAGGCTAGCACGATTGTGGGCCTAAGATAAGTATACAAAGCCTACTTGACTTTCTACTCAATGGAAATAAACTGAAAATGTAATCCAAAATGAAACATCAGTTGTATCACTAACAAAAAATATAATATACTTAGGAATAAATCTAACAAAATGTGTAAAGTCTGAGTGAAAAAAATGATAAAATGCTTGTGAGAAATATTAAAGATGTCCTAACTAGAGAGATACAGTCATGCACACAGACAGATACATCAGTTCTTCCTACATTAATCTATATATTTGATACAATTCTAATTAGAACCCTATATGCATTTCAGTGAGTTTGATAATCTGATTCTAAAATATATATGGAAGAATTATGACCTAAGAAAAGTCAAGACACCCTAAAGAAGAACTAAGTAGATTGGGGCTTCCCCTTCTAGATGGCGACATGTTCCCATAGTTCCAGCTACTTGGGAGACTGAGAGGAGGCTGAGACAGGAGGTTCACTTGAGCTTAGGAGTTTGAGAGTAGCCTGGGAAATAGAGTGAGACCCCATCTCAGAAAAAATGTACTATAAAGTTACAGACATTGAGACATTGTAATGTCAGTCCTAGCTTGTATTTCTTACCTCATTCCATCCACATACAATGAATTCAAAACAATAGAAAGAATTATAAAAGGAAACTTAACAATTTTAGAAAACAATATAGAACAGTTTTTTATGACATTTGGATAAAATATGACGTGGCAGGATTTATGCAATAAGACATTACAGCATTAATCACAAAAGAAAGCTTTATAAGTTTGATAACATTAAAATGAAGAACAGGTTTATCAAAAGGCACCATAAATATAATGAAAAAACAAATGGCAAAGTGGGAGAGGAATTTGCAAAACATATAATCACCAAAGGCTTGCTATTCAGAATACGTTGATTTTAAAATCAATTAGAAAAAGAAAGAAAACACCATAGAGCAAGAGGTGTGGACAGACATGCCAAATAAAAGGGTGGTGTGGAAGGTGAGTAAAGAAAGGGATGGATTCTCGGTCCAGTCAGCAATGAGGAATGGCAAGGTAGAGACATAGTGAAACAGCAGTCTAAAACCAGAAAACAAAACTTACATCTAACAGTCTGAAGGCTTGAGGAGAACATTTAATAATGGGAAAAATTTAAATATTGCTCTAGAGAATGTAAATTGATAGGACTAGTTTGAAAAACAACTTGACATTGTCTTACAGAATACAACTCTCAAGTATTCTTTTTTCTTTTCCAAGTTTTATCTTTGTGTTTGAGCCCTAGAAAAAAAATCCTTACTCATTCATTTTAGTACACACATAGGTGAAGCTGGGCATGGTACTCACATCTGTAATCCCAGCTACTGGGGAAGAGGAAGCAGTTGGGGCTTGAGTTTAACACCAACCAAGCAAAGTCATGAGACCCTGTCTCATAAACAAAATCTAAAACAAAAGGGCTGGGTGATAGCTCAAGTAGTAGAGCATTTGCCTAGCATGTGCAAGTGTTTCCGGGTTCAATCTCCAGTACCACCAAAAAAAAAAAAAAGGAAAAAAGAATGCTCATAGTATGATTAAGCAAGGGCTAGAGCACTTGCCAGGCTCAACCTCCAGCATAATAACAACAAAATTTGAAAAAGTTTAAAAAAAATTCTAAAAAGAAAGCAAACATAACTGGGAGTAACCCCAATATCTTTCAGAAGAAGAATGGATAGATAGATACGTTGTATAGCGTCCCCACATCTAAAGACAACAACTCAGGTGAATCATAGAAATGCAAGATTCAAAATTCAAAAAGTCAGAGAAACTTACATATACTAGTTGCAAAATCCCAAATAAGATATACTAAACATGTATTGTTTAGGGGGGAAGACATATGCCATGTAACTATTCAAAACCAATCAAAGGAGTGATGTGTCAAATATAGGAAGTGCTGTCTTTGGTGGACAGATGGAGGTGTGGGAAAGAAAAGGCATACACAAGTATTGGAATAGTCTGGGTATATTTCTTTTGGAGTTTTTATTTTGGTGGGACTGAGATTTGAACTTGAGCCACATCTCCAGTCCATTCACTCTAATTATTTTGGAGATGGGGTCTTGGGAACTGTTTGCCTGGGCTGCCCTCAAATCAAGATCCTCCGATCTCTGCCTCCCAAGCAGCTAGTGGTACAGACACGAGCCATTGGTGCCTGGCAAATATTCTAGGTTTTAAGTTGAGTAGTAGGTTCACCTTTGTCTATTTTGTAATGCTCTTTCTTATTGTATATGTCACAAATTCCCTGTTATGAGATCAACTATTATATAATTTGTAAATTTCTGTTTTCAGAGCTCTGATGTCTTTTTCGGTTTCTGTTGTTCACAGCATATAAAGTGAGTCTTATCTAGAGATGAAAGGCATCTTAGGAATGCTGTGGTCCACCTCCCATTTTCTTCATAGGGTAACTGAGGCCTGGAGAGATGCTTTTCTCAGGATCACACAGTTGGTTAGTAGAAAAACTGAAGCTGGAATCTGGGTCCATGGATGGCATTTCCATTTGGGGCAGTTTGCACCACTGAGACATTAGAATGTGAGGTCAGACACTGAGTTTCAAAGCCAAGTCAACCACTTATGTCTCGGTCAAGTAACTTAGTCTCTATGATGCTCGTTTACTTTTTTGTTGATAAGCCAAAAGATAATTTTCTTTCAGTGTTGTAAACGGTGAGTGAGAAAACATATATAAAGAACCTACTACAAGGCAAAGAGGAACTACAGACAAGAAAGTCATAATTATAACTATTTTTATTTTCATTGTAGTATCATGATTTAAAAAATAGATGGATTAAAGGAAATTTGTTACTGAACTGTAAAAAATCCTGATGATGGGGCATCCACCACTTCTGTGCCATCACGTTGTAAAACGGATGTATTATATTACCATGGTCATGTTAAAAACATGATAATATTAAATTAACACCACAGTGTTAAACACACTGCTTTACTGACCAATTAGAATTCCTCAGGAGGCCTATGAAGTCAATACGATTGCCATAGTTTTATGACAAGTAATGTGGTTTAATTTTTCAAGGAAAGATTTTAGGTGAGAGGGTTTAAATCTCCCATAATATTTATTATGAACTGAAATGTAGTTCTCTGATTCTGCTTCTAGGATTAATGCTTGCTGATTTATTTTCTTGCATTTCCTTGCCTTGTCTTGAAAGTCCTCTAAACTTTTATTTACTGTATTTACATGCTTTTCTATTCTGCATGTGGCAATAGAGATGGGGCTTATTTTTATAACAATTTAAATGAGGCAGAAAGATATAAAGAGAAAAATAAAGTCACTTTCTGTTTACTTTCTTCTTTACCTTTTACACAGCCCTCTGCAGAGAAACCACCATTCTCCATTTTGGAGATATAACTGATCTGGGTATTATATTATTTGTTATATAACATCATATATTATTTATATCTTTATCAATTTGTTAAGGAAAAATGGCACTTCTGATTTTCACTTTTAAAATTGATGAGGTTTAGTAGTGAAAGTCCTAGCCAGAATAATTAGTCAAGAAAAGGAAAGAAAAAGCATCTAAATTGGAAAGGAAGAAGTAAAACACTTGTTTTCAGATAAGATGATCTACATTAAGAACAAAAACAAAAGCCTAACAATTAATCTTACAAGAGACCTGTTGAACTGATAAATTCAGAAAAGTTTCAGGATATAAAATCATCACCCCAAAATAGTTGCTTGTCATTGTATTAACAAATAATCCAAAAAGAATTCTGGAAAACTATTCCATTTATAATAGCACCAAAAAGAATAAAATACTTAGGAAAAAACCTCATCAAGGAAGTGCAAAGACTTGTATTCTGAAAACTATAGAACATTGCTAAAGAAATGAAAGAAGATACAAACAAACTGGAAGACATCCACATTCATGACTTGGAAGATAGAGTTAAGATGTCAGCACCCAAAGTGAGCTACAGAGTCACTGCATTATCTTCCAAAATTCCAATGGCAGTTTTCTACAGAGAGAGAACATTTTATTCTAAAATTCAGGCAGAATCTCAAGACATTCCAAATAGAATTTTGAAGGAGAACAAACTTGGAGGACTCACACTTCCTGATTTCAAAACATACTACAAAACTATGGTAACCAAAATGATGTGGTACTGTCATAAAGACAGACAAATAGACTAGTAGCCCAGAAATAAACTCTCAAGTATGTGGTCAAATGTTCTTCAACAGGGTACCAAGATCACTCAAGGTGGAAAGAACAGTCTCTTCAACATACGGTGTTGAGAAAAGTGGGTAGTTGTTTGCAAAAGAATGAAGTTGGACATTTCTACCATGTACTAGGTTCTCCAGGGAAAAAGAATCAATAGGATATATATTTGTGTATGTGTAGCACACACGTTATTAATATCTGCTTATATATGTATGTATTACATATATACATATGTGATATACATACATATAAGTCTATATATACACATACATATATATATATACATATACACACACACATACATGTAAGCATATACAATGGTATTTAGCAACGTGATTGGAGAGGCTGACGAGGCCCATGAGCTGCTTTCTGCAAGCTAGAGAACCAGACACCCAGAGAAAGGTTTGTAACTCAGTCTGAGTCAAAGCCCTGAGAACTAGGGGGTTGCTTGTTTAAGTTGTGAAGTCCAAAGTCCCAAGAACCAGAATTCTGTTGTCTGAGGGCAGGAGAATGGATATCTGAGGTCAAGTAGAGAATTTGCCTTTCCTCTTTTTGTTCTATTTGGACTCTCAAGGGATTGAATGATGCTTAACCACTGATTTACATGCTAATCTCTTCTGGAAATACCACCAGAAATAATGTTTTCCTGGCTCTCTGGTCTATCCTTTGAGTTGGTCATGCAGTCAAGTTGACACATAAAATTAACCATTGCACACTGTCTACAAAAATTAACTCAAAATGATTAAAGACCTAAACATAAAACATAAACCTATGTAAGTCCTAGAAGAAAACATAGGGGAAAACATCCTGACATTGTACTTTGCAATGATTTCCTGGATATGATATCGAAAGCACAGATGACAAAAGCAAAAAGCGATGATTTCTTGGATATGCTATTAAAAGCATAAATGACAAAAGCAAAAATAGACAAATGGAGCTGTATCAAGCCCAAAAACTTTCATGCATCAAAAGACACAATCAGCCCGGCATAGTGGCTCATATCTGTAATTCCAGCTACTTGGAAGGCAGAGATCAGGAGGATTGTGTTTCAGTTGGAGACCAGCCCAGGCAAAAAACATTAGCAAGACATCATCTCAATTGATAAACTCGGATTACAGTCTGAGGCCAGCCAGGGCAAAACTGTGACCCTTTACCTGAAAAGTAACTGAAACAAAAAAGGGCTCAGGTGGTACAGTGCCTACCTATCAAGTGCAAGGCTCTGAGTTCAAACCTTAGTACTGCCAAAAAATCAGAAGTAACAAGTGCTGGTGTGGATGTGGAGAAATTGGAACTCTGGGGCACTATTGGTAGCGTCGTTAAATGGTGTAACTGCTGTGGGAAACAGTGTGGAGTTTCCTCAAAAAATTAAAAATAGGGCTGGGGGCATAACTCAAGTGGTAGAGGGTCTGCCTAGCAAGTGTAAGGCCCTGAGTTCAAACCCTAGTACCACACAAATAAACAGAATCATATGCTCTAGCAATCCCACTTTGGGTATAGTTCCAAAAGAATTGAAAGCAGGGTCTTCAAAAGAGATTTGCAGGTGCACGTTCATATCACCATATCTACAATAGCTAGGAGGTGGAAGAACCCAAATGGTCCATTACCCAAATTAGTAATGGGCAGGGGATGTGGCTCAAAAATAGAGTGCTTGCCTAGCATGCATGGAGGCTCAGGACTCAACTGCATCCCCAGCACTGCAAAATAAATAAATAAATAAATAAATAAATAAATGTTTAAAAGGAAGAAAACATAGTAAATACATGCAATGGGATATTGTTCAATTTTAAGAAAGAAGGAAACCTTGCCACATGGATGAAACTTGAGAGAGGGATGCTAAGTGAAACGACAGTCAAATGCTGCATGGTTCCATCTGTATGAGCAATCTCAAGTGGTCATACTTGGAAGAAGAGAAAAAGATGGTTACCAGGAGGTAGGAAAGAGAGAAAGGGAATTACTGCTTATAGGTGTAGAGTTCCCGTGTTGCAAGATGCAAAAATTCTAGGGCTCAGTTTCACAACAATGAATTTATTTAACCCTATTCAACTGTACATCTAAAAATGGTAAAGATGGTAAGTTTTATGTTATGTATTTTTTATACATAAAAATGATGTTTATTGACCATTACTATTTTTCTCTGAACTTTCTAAATATGATTCATTTAAGGAAATGCAATTATAATGAAAAATGTTCTAAAAGTTATGTGCATATGCTGCTGAGTTTTCACTGTAAGAGACACAGTTGGAGTGTTCGGAAAATGAACTTGGTGTGCATTAAACATATTATCATTAGTGGTACCTGTTTCTGATGATTGTTTCTAGGATATTTTTGTTTGGTTTTATATCCATGTGCAGGTATCAGAATGAGATTCTCTTAACAGAATCCAGGGTTTTCCCATCTCTCTCTGCCATTTCTACACACAGTAGCTTCTTTAGGATTGCTTTAGTTACTTGGGTATTAGGAATAAAAAACTCATTGTTCCTCAAACTCCTGAAATAAGTGGGGGACAGCTTGGTGATTCTGTTAGAAAATCTTAGAATGAGACATTCTTGGAGTATTTCACTTGGAAATTACTTTTTCCTCCTCTAGTACCCTATTTACTTAGCATTCTTTTCTTGAAATAATGTAGAAAGAAAGTTCCTTGAGGTAAGGAATTAAGATTTATATTTCTTCTTGTCTTCTCTACTGCTTTCCACTGAAAAGAGAAACATGAATTTAATTTATTTAAAGGCAAAGTAGGAGTTGTAGGTGAAGTCTGTGGGGCATTTTGGAAGATTTTATACTAAGATCAAATGTAAGACTTCATGTTTGTGCTTAATACTTTATCCTAAAAGATAAAATACATGTTAGAAGACTTAAACTGTTGGGTACCTAAAATGAGAAGTATTGATTTCTCTGTGAAAGTAGTTAATAACTGTATCAAAGCTTCTTATCCTTGGGTAAAAAACCTGAAAAAAACAACTTAAGAGGGGAGGATTTATTTTGGCTCACAGTTTCTTTCAGTCCATGGTTAACTGGCTCCATTTCTTCTGGACTTGTGCTTGGTGAGGCAGAAATTATGGTGGGGAGCATGTGGTAGAGACAAGTGTTCACCTCACGGTGGACAGGAGAGCCATAGGAAGGGGTCAGAGACAAGACATACCCTTCAAAGGCATACCTACCACTGACCAGCTTCCTCTGTCAGGCCCTACTTCCTAATGGACCATTCGGTATGAACTAGTCAATGTATTAACCCATCAATGAAGTTAGGACCCTCACGATCCATTCACCTCTCAGTAGCACCTTCTGGGGACCAAGCCTTCGACACTTTGGCCTTTTGGGGTGACACTTCACATCCAAACCATAATAACAACTGAGGTAATTTGCAGATGTTTTTGAGATCTGTTACTACACATTCAAACACAACCCTATAGTACTGATGTCAAAGTATTTCTTGTTAGTTTCATAAAAATCCTCGTTTTCTTTTTTTTTTTTTCAGGTTATTCTGGACTTTATGAAGCCATTGAAAGTTGGGATTTCCAAAAACTTGAAAAATTAGAGGAGCATAGAACACTTTTAAGACGTTTACAACCAGAATTTAAAGCCAGAATTATTCCAACAGAAATCCTTCCTGAAATAGCTGAATGTTTATTTGAACAGGAACATGAAGAAATTCGGCAGGTAAGTGAACATAAAATACTAAATTTGGAGAAGTGATTAGTATATGGGGGAATGTCTTCTGTTTTCTGTACTATTTTAGACTTAAAGAAGATAATTGAAAGCCATAAAAGCCTTCATATCTAGGGTACAATTACTTACAATAGTACTTTTCATGTAAATTGAGTAATTTTGTGCCATGGACTTTCAAGTTTGATCTATTTTCAGTTGTAATTACATTACTTTCTGAATAACGTTTCATGCAAATGTAAGTAAAATTGAACAGTTTGGCAAATGAAAAGAAAAAACGGCTGTAGACTAGCAGGTAGGCCTTTAGGCTCAGGGTATGGATAAGTTTTATTGAAGTCCTAACTCATCCTACTAGCGACGTGATCCTGGGCAATTTACTAAATGATTCTAAGCATCTATGTCTTCATGGACAAGGAAAGAGAAATTATTGTACCTCATTAATGTGCTGTTTTAAAAGGCCTAAATGAGATAACAAATGCAAATTATTTACATATGTAATACTAAGTAATGGCACATAATAGTTTGTGCACAATAAGCTTTAGTTAAAAATTATGATTAATTGTGAGCCATGTAAATCCATCTACTCTGAAAAATCATTTGTTAATATTTTGTTACATTCCTCAAAAAATCTATATTGTGAATAGTTAACAAATGGGTTAATTTTTTCTTAATATGCTGGTAATGATGGGGATAAGAACTCAGAAGATAAGAAGACTTGGCTTGACCTCGACATAATGCTATGTGTAAAAGACAAAGGAAAGAGACTCTTAAAAGACAGTGTCAGATGAGGCAAGATAATGGTAGCTAAGACCCATCGAACCATAATTTAAAAAGCTTTCAAATCAGAAAGAATTTGAATTGTTACTTCTTCAGTGAAAACTCATAAAAGGCAAACTTTTGAAATAATTGCTTAAGACCCTGCATTTGCCTTGCTTAGGTTTGCTACAATAAAGGAATGATGGCAGGTGCAGAGAAAATGGTTGAATACCTTCTCAGATCAGATAAAGAGAACTGGCCCAAGGCTTTGAAACTCGCCTTGGAGAAAAAAGACAACAAGTTCAGTGAACTGTGGACTGCAGGGGAAGGTAGGATGTTCCAAGGAAGAGCTTTGGTGGGGAGAAGAGGGAACCAGGCTGTGCCCCCTCGTGGTTCTCCTTGCCACTTGCCTCATTCCTACCTGTTTTTACGTTCCATCAGAGGCACTTTTTCCCTTCAGACACCAAAGGGTGCATCTCTGGTGAGAGAGCAGCATTAAGTTGCATCTGTGGGGTTACTCCAGAGGCACCTGCACACCCATGTTTATTGTGGCACTATTCACAATAGCCAAGTTATGGAAACAGCCAAGATGCCCCACCACTGACGAATGGATTAAGAAAATGTGGTATCTATACACAATGGAATTTTATGCAGCCACGAAGAAGAACGAAATGTTATCATTCGCTGGTAAATGGATGGAATTGGAGAACATCATTCTGAGTGAGGTTAGCCTGGCCCAAAAGACCAAAAATCGTATGTTCTCCCTCATATGTGGACATTAGATCAAGGGCAAACACAACAAGGGGATTGGACTTTGAGCACATGATAAAAGCGAGAGCACACAAGGGAGGTATGAGGATAGGTAAGACACCTAAAAAACTAGCTATCATTTGTTGCCCTTAATGCAGAGAAACTAAAGCAGATACCTTAAAAGCAACTGAGGCCAATAGGAAAAGGGGACCAGGAACTAGAGAAAAGGTTAGATCAAAAAGAATTAACCTAGAAGGTAACACACACGCACAGGAAATCAATGTGAGTCAACTCCCTGTATAGCTATCCTTATCTCAACCAGTAAAAACCCTTGTTCCTTCCTATTATTGCTTATACTCTCTCTACAACAAAATTAGAAATAAGGGCAAAATAGTTTCTGCTGGGTATTGAGGGGGTGGGGGGGAGAGGGAGGGGGCGGAGTGGGTGGTAAGGGAGGGGGTAGGGGCAGGGGGGAGAAATAACCCAAGCCTTGTATGCACATATGAATAATAATATTAAAAAAAATAAAATAAAACCTTTCACGTATTAAAAATAAATAAATAAAAATAAAAATTTAAATATATGATAAAAAAAAGTTGCATCTGTGGAGGAAGGCAGCTACGTTTCTATGGAATTAGTTTGGTTGTAATAACTCCTAAAAATGGTCCAGAGAAACTGCTGCCATCCAGAATTAACCCACCTGGCCCAAAGAATTTGGGGAAGGGTAGAGTCTGAGCTTTCAGCCTGAGTTTAGGTTATCAGACAAATAGCTTAAGAATTCTAGTAGTAAAGGTTCAAACTTGAGGATTTATCCTCTTTTCAGAGAAGAGTCTGAATGTCAAGAATGAGTGACATTGGTATCTTTGCCTGGAAGCCATCTGGAACTGAACAGAACAGAGGTGAAAGAAGAACTTTCTGTGATTATCTGAGCCATCATTTGGCTTCTTGAAGCTCACCTCTTCTCAGAGCTTTGTTTTAAAGGCTAAGTTTGGCAAAACCCAACTATCTAGTTTTAGACTCTCCATGGCTTTAGATTATAAGGTGTTTCAGAAACTGTCTGCATAAATACACATCTAATTTCTTGGGTCAGGGGTCAGTCAGAGATGAAGCACATGAATGTTTACTAAATCAAACTGCTCTTCTTTAGTGCTCATACAACTCCCATAGAATTCTTGTTAAAATGAGACTTTTGATTCAGGATGGGCTCGTGACTCATGCTGCTAACACTCTCCTGAAGTTACAGGTCCCATGTTCTGCACGTCGAGTAACACAGGTGTAAGTGACAGTGGAATTCAATCACCAAATCAAGACTTCAAACTCAAAATGATTCTTTTAATTGTTTTAAGAAGTGAAAGGGTGTGGCTTTGAGAAATCTTAATAGAAATGAAAAATTTTAGTTTTAGGACTTAGTGGGGTTTTTTTTTTTGTAATCAGAAGTATAATCAGATGACATTGAGATTCTAAGATTATTTTGTCTCCTTAAGTAGGTGCAAAAATTGTTCAAATAAAAGATGTTGAAGATGATAGAATGGACACTTCCAACATAGAGTTTTTCTACCAGGAAGTTCCCGAAGACCAGAATCTTAGTCAGACTCCCTGTCCACCCTCAGGTACCTGGCGTTTTGTTATTTTCCATAATGACACTCCTCAGGTGTTTTGTGTGGGGACATGTTTTGCAGTGTCCAAAGTCACAGCCTTGTGAAAGGTTTTTAAGGAAAATTAAGAAAGAAAAGCGAATTTGTGTTAAAATTGATACCTTATAATTAGAAGTGTCACCCTCTTCTTTCATGGCTGCTGCTTTTGCCTTTATCTTTTTCTTTTTTTCTTTTTAAATCTTGTTTTGCCACTAAAAAAGTATGTAGTTGTTGACATACTTTTCATACTTTGGAAATGCAGAAAGAGTCCTCCCAAAGTCTCGATGTCTATGAAATAAAAGAAGCAGCCTTGCTTCCTTAAAGAATACTTCTATTCATGAGCCACTTGCTCAGTTTCATTCTAGTTCCCAGGGCTACCATGCAAGTTGGTGAGGTCGTGTACTGTGCAAGTTTGCCTGGCTGAGATCCAGAGTGTGTGTGGGGGCTAGTACCTTTCAAGAGCAGCCCCTTGTTCTCATTACACATTAGCTGTGGCCCTGGAGGGCTTCCTTATGTTTCTTGAAGCATATTTTCACAATGAGACCAAAAGGCTGTATAATATTCCAAAATAAAAAGTTATTTATAAAAGAGTATAAGGATGGAAATTGGGATTCATAGTTAGGGTTAGAAGAAAACTGTGATTTTTAGTATAACATAATAAAAAAGAAAACTTATAGATTACTTCTACATAGGCTTTTGTCATTCCAGAATAAACTCTGTGAGTATAGATTGCTTTAAATATTTGTGATGAAATCTGGGTGCTATTGGCTATCCTGGCTACTTGGGAAGCTGAGATTGTGGTGTGGTTCAAACCCAGCCCAGGCAAATAGTTTTTGAGACCCTCATCTCTAAAATAACCAGAGTAAAACGGACTGGAGGTGTGGCTCAAGTGATAGAATGCCTGCTTTGCAAGTTCAAAATCCTGAGTTCAAACTTCAAACACCAAAAACAAAAATTAAAAATTAAAAATAAGTATTTGTGATGCTTAAAGATCCTTACATGTCTTTTAAATGAAGTGAATTCTCTTAACCTTTTAGAGACTCTGCCTCTCTTTAAAATGGTTAGTCTCACTAGATGATTTGAAAGTCTTTTCTGGCTCTTAACATTTTATATGCTACTTGTTACTGAGATAAAGCCTCTTTTTTTTTTTTTTTAGTTTTCTGGTTGTATTGAGAGAAAATATTGGAGAGCCTGAAGAATTACAGACCAAACTCCTCACTAAGAAGTTGCTTTGAGAATCCAGTATTAACATTAACAATGTGGTTTTCTTCAAGGATCTTGGAGGGATTTGTCATTTTGTTCCATTTGGCCTTGTCTGTAGCCAGTGGCCATCAGTCTTGCCCAGAATTAGGCTGTTCTTTCTTTCTTTTCTCTTTATTAGGCTTCTGTGATTGTTTAAGGCAGAATTCATTGTGACTTTTTTTTTTCTTCTTGTCAGTGAGAGAGAATTCTGTATTTCAAGGCAATGGAGGAACTGGAATGGTTAATAAGAGAGAATATTCTAAGCCATCTTAAATGAGGTTCTTCTTGCAAGAGTCAGAATTCATGTCCACTGGATAGAGCTATTTCCACGAGTCCTCAGAGCAGTCACTTTTTGTGATTTTGTTTCTTTTGTGTTGTAGAAATGACTCAACACAACCCATTGAAACCAAGAGAGTACCAACTGGAGCTTGCTTTGCCTGCTCAGCAAGGAAAAAATACAATAATATGTGCTCCTACTGGTAAGCCAATTGGACTTACTGATGTAGTTTATCTCTCTTTTTGCTCCTTTTTTTCTTTTATTGAATATTGTGATAAAATGAGAAATTTCAATTTTTTTCCTGTTTCATTTGTCCTCGGGAAAACTGTCCTATTAATATAGTCTCAATGTATTTTATGAGACATGAACAATGAAAGGAAAAATGCCTTCTTTTAGCTTCCTTTTGATCCTAGGTATCTGAGTTCATGTTACTTAGGAAGTTGCTTGATATTTTTAAATCATAGTTTAAGTTCTACAGTTGTTAGTCCCTGTAAACAACCAACTGACTTGTCTTCCCCGTGGTGTTAGAAGAGCCCAAACTGAACAGCTTTGTACAGAAATAGCTAATATAGTATTAGTTATATGTTTTCTTTTTTCTTTATATGTTAAAAGGTTGTGGAAAAACCTTTGTTTCACTTCTTATATGTGAACATCATCTTAAAAAATTTCCACAAGGACAAAAAGGAAAAGTTGTCTTTTTTGCTAATCATGTCCCTGTATATGAACAGCAGAAGTCTGTGTTCTCAAGATATTTTGAAAGACTCGGGTAGGTATAACAGTTGGTCAACCTTCTTTTTTTCTCTTCATGCAATTAATATCTTTCTGTTTTGTGTTTTAATTATTTTTTTCGATACTGGGCATTGAACCCAGGCCCTTGTGCTTTCTAGACAAACACTCTACCACTTGAGTTATATCCCTAGCTGTTTTCTTTTTTGAAAGACATGATTAAAAAAAAATCTGAAAGATTCACCGTTCATATAATTTTGAAGCAATTCCTTCATGGGTTCATTTTATTTTTATTAGTTATAGTGGAACTCCTAAACCTTAAAGAGTAAGTGACTTGGTAGTTAAATTTGACACTTAAATAGTGCATTTAATTTCTTTAATGATTTTATACTTTATTTGATGCTACTATTTTTTTTTTTAGTTCTTTTGAGATAAGGTCTCACTATGTAACCCAGGCTGCCCTTGAACTCATAATCTTCCATCCTCAGCCTTCTGAGGGCTAGGATTACAGCATCTGCTACCATGCACAGCTGATGTTACTCTTTTAAGTATTCTTTTTTCTTTTAATGACTTTAATGAATAATATGTATTATGATAAGTTACAACTAGCTTGCATTTATTGACCACTTGTATGTCAGGTTCTGTACCAAAGACTTAAGTTGTCCCCTGATGTATTCCTTTTGGGCTTAGGGAGAACTTCATCCATTGCTGTCCTTGTCTAGCATTTCATTGTTGTGTTTCCTCATTCACATCTTGGTTGGTAATAGGGAATTTGTGTCATTTTCCAGGTACAGAGTTGCAGGCATTTCTGGAGCAACAGCTGAGAATATCCCAGTGCAACAGACTATCGAGAACAATGACATCATCATTTTAACACCACAGATTCTTGTGAACAACCTTAAATATGGAACTATTCCATCAGTGTCTGTCTTCACTATGATGATATTTGATGAATGCCACAACACCAACAAACACCACCCCTACAATGTGATCATGTTCAACTATCTAGATCAGAAATTTGGGGGATCTTCAGAGCCACTGCCGCAGGTACTTCTAGTCAGATGGCTCTCCAGAAGAGCTATCATCATCCTGGGTCCTATTTACTTACTCCTGTGGCCACATTTGGGTTGTCCTTCTCAAGGTCCTTAGCCCATATTATACAACTACTGATCAATTTTGATCAATTCATTCACTTATTCACTTAACAAACAGTTATGCCTGGTATCTAAGTGGGATTGGATTCAGGCCTCTTCCCCCTACAGATTCTAAAATTAAGGATGCTTAAGGCTATGTATAAAATGGCACAGCATTGGCATATAACCACATATTTTCCTGTATGCTCTAATAACTTCTAAATCACTAATAATACCTAGTATAAGATAAATGCTGTGTAAATGATTATTATACTGTATTTTTAAGGGAATAACGACAAGGAAAAAAGCTTACACATATGTAGTAGCTATGTGGTTTGTTTTGAATATTTTTGAAGCGTGGTTGTTTGAATGCACAGATACAGAGCCTGTGGGTGTGGAGGGCCACTTGTGTGTACCATGGTACATGACAGTGTGCCTTGCACCCTGTTCTAGGTGCTGAGGATGCCGATGGAAAAAGACACAGTCCCTGCCCTCAGACAGCTGAATTTTTATGGGGAGTCAGATACTTAAAGATTATGTCACAATTTATCATGGTGCAAGGCATAGTGAGAACATAGTGAAAGCACTCCTACGTGTGCTATGAAAGTAAGGCAAGAGCTACTAGAAGGTAGGTTGGACAAAAACTAACAGGAGTTTTCCAGGTAGTTAGCTGGATGGTTCTCAGTAAGGGGGTGCTGTGTGTCCAGAGACATGGAGGCATAAAGAGTCTGGTGTGCTCCAGACTCTTGAAACTTTGCCATAGTGTGAGTAGTAGCAAGTGAGTGTGTGAGTGTGTGAGGTAGGGAATAGCAGTAGGTAAGGCAGAGCTGGAGGAGGAATAATTGATAGAAGAAGGTGTGCAGAGAGACCAGAGCATGTGGGATTAATGGGCAACTAGCTGGATTAGCACAGGAAAGAAGGAACATCTTGCTTGATGTCATGTGAGAAGAGTCGATTCAGAAAGTAGTTCTTAGATGGGGCAGGAAGGAAAGAGTATCCCTGGTATCAAACTTCTCTTTTCTCTCAAACACAACAGGAGAGATAGATTCTTTGCTGAGAATCAAAGAATGTCAAAGTATATGAATGGGGAAGGGAACTGGGAAGAGTGAGGAGGATTTGAAATGGAAGTGAGAACCAAGAGGGAAACCTGGTATGGTGGTTCATGCCTGTAATCCCAGCTACTCAGACAGAGATCAGGAGCATTGAGATTCAAGGCCAGCTTAGTCAGAAAGTTTGCAAGACCCCATATCAACAAAAAATCTGGGTATGTTGGTCTATGTCTGTAATCCCAGGTACATGGGAGTCCATATGTAGGAGGATCACAGTTCAAGTCTGGCTCAGGATTCCCCCCACCAACCCAAAAAAAAAGCTGGGGACATGGCTCAAGGGGTAGAGTGCAAGACCCTGAGAGGGATACACCGAAGAATTCTTGGTCACATGGGGAGCCCAAATGAGGTCGGAAACCATGAATTTATTTATTTTATTTATTAATTTATTTTATTTATTATGAATTTATTGTATGTTAGTGAACACATTTGTATAAAGTTCTCTAGCCCTAATAATTGTCCATTTAGGAAATTCAGGTGAAAAGAAATTGGTACCATGCCCACAGAGAAAAAAAATACCCTTCCAAAGCAGTCACATTTTTTAGAGTTTGTTCTTGTGGAATAATGTTGGCATTAACTAGATTCTTTACTGGTGAGTTAATTATTCAGTAGTCATGGAGTGGCTACTAGAAGGAGTCATCTTACTAAACCCACACAGCTACCATTTTAAATAGGTGTTTGTTTCCCAACTTTTCTGAGATCAGAAGGTACTTGTTCAAGGACACACAGCAAGTGACATGGCTGAGACTGGAACAGATTCGGGTCTGATTTCATCCTTTTCAGTATGGTGCTCTCCATGTGGCAGGGGATACAGAGTAGAGAAGAGAGAAGCACAGCTTTGACAGGGTCCCCCTCAATGTCTGTGGTGATCAGCGTTTATCTGATGAGCTCTGAATCCTGCATTTATGTAGTGCTTTGCTAGTGGGACCTTTCTATTTGCAATGTCATAGAGAATGTCAGGAAAATAATGTTGGAATGCCCCTTACAGGTCATCGGGCTGACTGCCTCTGTTGGTGTTGGGGATGCCACAACCACAGACGAAGCCATGGCTTACATCTGCAGACTTTGTGCCGCTCTTGATGCCACAGTGATTGCGACAGTCAGAGAAAACTTGAAAGAGCTGGAGCGAGTTGTTCACAAGCCCCAGAAATGTGAGTGGGGTCCAGTAACGAGTCCTTTGGCTCTTGTTACGCTCTGCTACGTCGAGTTCACGGCCAGTTAGATGCACACTGAGCTTTGACCCTGTATCTGTTTCATGGATAGGATTGAAGTACATCGTATGCATGTATGAAAAGGTCATAATAAAACCCCTTTAAATAATTGCAATAAAGATGAAAAATGGGTGAGTATAGAGAGTAATAGAGGGGTGAGGATGATCAAAGTATATTCATGCATGGAAATAATCACAATGAAACCCCACATTGTGCAATTAATATGCACGAGTAAAAACATGTGGGGGAAATAAAGGAAGTTATTTAATCCCAAACAGGAATAGCCACATTTTCAGTCTTTCTGCCTAATTGAATTCTTTCCCGTAGCAACTGATGAGCCTTGGAAGTGGCCTGTAAGGAACAAATGGCAATTCCCACTCTTTGGCTCCATAAGACCCTCATAAAAAGACTAGCAGTAACATGAAAGAGAGGATGAGAAGATCTAACCCAAGGCTGGCACAGTCCTTTCCTGCACTCCTTGCACGAGGCGGACACCGTGTGGTCATCACTGTGTGAATATGTATCCCATAATTGAGGTTGAAATGATCTAAACTCACTGTATCACCTCCAAAGATCAGATGAGATTTTTAAAGACTGACTGATTAGCAAATGTTTATTGGTTTTATTATTACACCAGCCCTGCACAGGAGAGAGGTACAAAAACCATACGTGACCTCCTTTTTGCTCTCTGAGCAGCCTATGGTGTGTCAGTTGAAGGCAGAAGAGATGCACATGAAATGGGCAGGGGGTGGAGCACACTTAAGTTCCTTTTTGGGAGCTGCGTGTAAGGAGTATAGAGAAGGTACTCAATCTTTTTGGTGCCACGTGTAAATTTTTGTTTGTGTGTGTGTGTGTGTGTGTGTGTGTGCACTATGGGCCTTTGAACTTAGGGCTTCATACTTGCTAGGTGAGTATTACATCGCTTGAGTCACATCCCCAGCTCTTTTTGCTTTGGGTTATTTTTCAGATAGGGTCTTGTGCATTTTTGCCCAAACAGGTCTCTGACCACAATTCTCTTATCTATGCATTCCTCGTAGCTGGAATTACTGATGTTTGCTACCATGCCTAGCTTGCTTCTTCAGATGGGATCTCCTTGACTTTGCTCAGGCTGACTTGAATTGAGATCCTTCCAATTTCTGACTCCTGAGTAGCTGGGAGTACAGACATAAACCCTGTGCATAGCTATGTTGAATTTCTTTATAATCTGGTTCCCCAGCCTTCTGAGCCTCATCTCCTGAATTCCATAAACCAGTCATGACCTTCCTTGCTTTCTTCTGGGCTCCTCAAACATGACATGCTTTCTTTCTAAGAATGTGTCCATGTTGCCCTTTGTCCATGACTGCTCTTGCTTCCTTCTTTCTTTTTCCCATGTTTATTCTGACTCTCCCCAACAAATTAGATATTCCTTTCCCTGGGCTCCATGATACCTCACACACACTCACAGTACAGAACTCTGCAGAACATCTGGAGCATGCACTTGTCTTTTCTTTTCAACTCTGTCACCAGAGTGTGGCACATGATAGGCAGTTAGTAAGTTTCTGCTGAAAGAATTCAGAAATGAATGTTGAGGTCAGTGGGAACACCCTTTGGGACTGGGCTGGGTGGAGGAAGAATAGAAAAGCGCAGAGACAGGGTGATAGTGTAGCATCTGTAGAAACCAGAGGAGCAGCAGACTTGTCAGAGCAGAGGCAATGGGAAAGCCAGAGTGAGAACTTGGGTTAGATCTAGATGGTGAAAGACAAAATCAGAATCAGCGCAGGAAGCAACAGGGGGGTTTCTGAGCATTTGTTGGGACTTAGTCTACCTACCGATGGGCTTGGGGCTGCCAGGTTTCCAGAGGAAGCAATAAAGGCACAAAAAAGTTTAGAGATCTCTACATTGAACTCCAATCTATTCTTCCTTAAAACATTTACTTTGATTTTAATGGCTCTAGTTTTCCGGAAAGTGGAATCACGGACTAGCAACAAATTTAAACTTATCATATCTCAGTTGATGAAGGAGACAGAGTTCCTGGCGAAGAATATCTCTGAAGAACTTGGTAAGTTCTACTCTAATTCTTGGTGAGCAAAGTCTCATATTTTATGCCCCCTCCATTTGGGGACAGCCCCATATTGTTTACTGATGTTCTTTTCTTCCAGTTCTTATTCATTCTTTCACTCATTAAGTATTTATTGTGCCAGGCGCTGTTCTAGCAATGGAAATCCTGAGATAGAAGACATAGTTTCCACCTGAGGGAACTCACATTCAAACAATGGGAACCTGATGCAAGCAGTGTCCCTGTAATAGGACAGTCACTCACTAATCACTGGGACCATATGAAAATTTCCTCCTAGACTGGGTTTCAGGGAAGGCTTCCTGAAGAGCTGATGCCTGAGACAAATTTTGAAGAAATCAGCCAAATTAAGGAGAGAAGCAAATGAGGTTGAAAGGACAGCAGCCATAGAGGGAAGACAACACAATGAGTTTTAGGAGCTACCAGAATTCTTGATAATCTTAATACGTGAGTCCTGGAAAGAAGTGAAACTGGAGAGAGAGGCTGGAGGCAGCCAGGAAGGGCCTGGTAGAACAACCGGGATTTGAATTGTATCCTAAATGCAACTGAAAATTTTAAACTGATTTGTGATATGCTAAAGTAGTGAGGATGAGTTGGAGAAGGGAGAGGCAAGGTACTTCCAACTGAAGTGGTAAGATTGAGTGATGAATTGGATTTGAGTGGGAGGGGGAGAGAGAGAAGGGGTTACTTCCTGATGGCTGGGGCGCCTGTGTGTATGCCCGTGGATGGTAGGTGTTTGAAGAACCTGGGGTAGCTTTGACAGGTATCAGGTGAATTTAGAATTTTGGAAATGTTGAATTTGTGATGTCTGTAAGACACCTACCTTATAGTGTTTCTCCTCTTCTCACACTATTTTGCTTCCTTTTTCCTTTTCTGCCAAAGTTTAATTTAGGACGTTTTCTAATAGCCTTAGGGCCAGTTGCCGTCCACCTGGTTAGTCTTCAAATACCAGTTTCATCACGTCAATATCCTGCTTTAAATCTCTGCCTATAAGATAATCTTCAAACTGTGTGACCTGACAGTCTGAGCCCTGTCTGGACAACAGTTCCACTTATCTTTCTCATTCTTTCTTCCATATTTTCCCTACTTGAATTCTTTGATTGAGCAGTTCCTTGAACATGTTCAGTCTGTCATTTAGTGCTAGGCAGTGTGCCCTGTGTTAGGAATACAGCATTAACCCTGAGACAGCCCTGCCCCCGTGGCATTTTCAGTCTAATGTTAAAGCTAGAATTAGATAAGTGATAATAATAATAATAATAATAATACTAAGGCATCTGGGTGTGGGTAAGTGGTGGTGATGATAAAGGCATATTTCAGGCACAGGGAACTGCATATGTATAAGCCAGGAGGAAAGTGCAGGAAGGAGAGTAGCCAGAGATGTGAATAGAAGTGGGCAGAGGTCAGATCACAGATGTTACCGTTCACCTCTGTGAATGGGTGTGTTAGTCCTTGTTTTGTTACTGTAATTCAATACCTGAAGCAGAGTAACTCATAAAGAAAAGAGGTTTATTTAACACACAGTTTTGTAGGCTGAAAGTCCAAATAGCAAGGTGAAAGCCTCACCGTAAAGGGAGTATGTGTGAGAGGAAGAGATTACATCTAGACAGGAAGCCAGAGCAAGATTCAGGAAAGGGTTGTTCTCTTTTATACCAACCCTCTCATAAGGACTTAAGGGGGTTCTGTGAGGACTCCATTAATCCCATCCAAGGGGAGTATCCCCAGTGACCTAACAACCTTCGTTTAGGTCCCACTTCTTAAAGGTGCTCCACCTGTTACCGTCACATGGGAGACCAGTCTTTCAACATGTGAGCCTTTGGGAGATGCTTAAATCATATCTAAGCCACAGCACCAGGGTAGGAGTTTGGCCAGAGGAATCCACGGCTTTTGAGCCATGGGATAGAATGGCTGTCATCTGCAGTTTTGTAACTCTGTCTAGCTGCCAGGTGGGGAATGGATTGAGGAACCTCTTACAGTTGGGAGATCAGGTAGGAGGTAGTTGGATCATCTAGGGGCAAGGTGACATGGTCTGATTGGTGAAGTGGCAGAGGGGTGGGGAGATGACTGTGGAGTCATGAATTTCTACTTCTTTATTCCTCACTTCAGGTACCCTGGTTCTACCTTTTTAACAGTCAAACTCCTGTCCATTGCCCATCTTCTAATTGCATGAATGATTTGCACACTTACCCAAGTTCAATGAATTTTGATGCTTTGTCTAGTTTGTTGCTGGAGCCTTGTCACTAGGACTGGGAAAGAAGCATGCCATTGATATTTCTTTGTGTACCTTCTTGTTCCTCTTGTTTAAAAATGAATATGTAAGGAGAACATTTAATTCAAATTACAGCTTTTGCCTGTGAATTGTCCTGTACTGTGCTCATTCTGAGGAACTGACAGTAGAGTAACTCACAGACCAAGCCCCTTGAGAAGGTGCTGGCTGTGCCTCATCTTTCTATCTCCAGCATCCTGCACAGAGCCTGGACCACTACAGACTCCAGTTTTGAACCACTCAGTAGAGAGGCGCATAAAGATGTGTCCATGACAAGCATCTTTTGAGCTCCTGTTCTGTGTTTGACCCAGTGAAAGGCATTATGGCACAGTGAAAAACTTTTTTCCCTCTCCAGGAAATTTATTTGAAATTCAAAATAGAGAATTTGGAACACAGAAATACGAACAGTGGATTGTTGATGTTCATAAAAAGTGCTCGGTGTTCCGGATGGAAGACAAAGAGGAAGAGAGCAGGATTTGTACTGCGCTGTTTCTGTATACTTCACATCTGCGGGTATGTTACCTTTAAAGATATATTTGAGTCATGGTGCCTCCTAGGAGTGCCATGTGGCAGCTGAGAACACCACCTTCTCATCCTGTCCCTAAGACTTCACTTAGGATCCTTTCCAGAAAGTTCTTATGAACTCTAAAAGTCGTCTCAGTCAGCATCATCTTGATTTGCTTTCTGAAACTTAACAGGCAACAGACCAGACTGACAGGAAGGCTCAGACTCCATGCTGTGCCTCCAGCATTCCCATATTTGACATGGTTGGAAAAAATGGGGTGCTGATGAGAGGTGATGATTGTTCTAGATGCATAGCCAGTGACAGCCATCTTTAAAGTTTAATAAGTGGTCCTGTTGCCATTTCCTGAAGCATGTTTTTCTTACTTTTGATACAGCTAAATGTTCAAAAACCTAGGGTCTCTGGTTAACCCAGAAGTTAAGGAACAATGGTAACAACCCTCACCTCTGCTTATTTTGCCATTGAGAATAATTTTTTTTTTCATTTTTCTTTTATTGAGAATAATTTTTAAGTGCATTTAATTAGCATGTGTTTTGACTTGTAATTACCTCAGCTGACTTTTGGTGTAGGTACATTTACAATTTAGCAATGGCTTTGGAAATTCAGTTGAATATCTGAATTATGACACAGGTTAAGGTAGAAATAAATTTGCTTTCATTTTTGGAATTTCAATATTTCATTATTGGAATTCTAGAATCCAAAAAGATTTTACTTAATTAAAGTTTCTAGCTAATTGGGATTCCTTCAGTATTTGCTTCAAAGTTTTATCATAAAACTGTTAGGGACCATTCATCTTAAATAACTCAATTGGAATAGATGAGAAATATTTCTTTACATTCATTCCTTACTAAGTACAGCTAATTGAACTTAAGTATAACTAATGTATTAGACATTGAAAACATATTGAAACTCATTTTTCATTTTTAAACAGAAATATAACGATGCTCTCATTATCAGTGAGGATGCACAAATGAAAGATGCTTTGAATTACCTGAAAGACTTCTTCAAAAATGTCCGAGCAGCAGGATTTGATGAGATTGAGCAAGATCTTAGCTGGAGGTTTGAAGGTGAAGTGGGTTTTCAGAGGAGGAAGCCATTGGAGTGCAGTGACTCGAGTGGCAGCAAACATACACTGCGTGATATTTAGCATACATAAGTTGGTGATGCTCAGGCCATTGTCTTGGCTTAAGAAGCTACTGTAAGGGCTGGTGTGTAGCTCAGTGGTGTAGTGTGAGCTTAGCATGTACAAGACTCTGGGTTCAATCCCCAGTACCAAAGAAAAGTGGGCCTATTTGGCGTCAATGAAATTTGGTGCCTAAGGAAAGATTCTGCTGTTTATACCATTTCCTACTTGGAAGAAGGAAAAATAGCAAGATTTGCAAGGGTACTTCCCATACAGTTAGTAGATAGTAGCATTCTTTCTGTTTAACTTTTAGTAATTTTAGAAAGGTTTTCAAAACAAAAAGGTGTTCTAATGATATTAAGAAGACTAATTTATCTATGTATTTCTATATAAAGAAAAAAAAATGACCTATAATCTTCCTGCCCCCATATTACTCTCCCAAATATGGAAATATATTTAATGAAGCATAAGTTTTCAGGGGTGAACTTGTAGTTCAATTGGTAGAGCACTTGTCCAGCAAGCACAAGGCCCTGAGTTCAAGCCCCAGTATTGCCAAAAAAAAAAAAGTTCCCTTCTTTTCTCAAATTCCTTTTCCCAAAAGTAAATCAGTTTTAATAATTTTTTTGGTTTATACTGAAGTATTTACTGTATCATGTATACAGACCATGGTATGTTGTGTGGGTAAATGGTACACACACAATGTATATGTATACATATATTTACATAACTTTATTATTAATTTTATTGATATGGAGAATATGTAGTTATGACTTATATGACTTATACAAATAATATATATAATACTGTTTATTGTAAATTCCATATAGCCCATGACTCATATAGAATGTTTTTGGGGTTTTTGCAAAACCCTTGTATCTTTAGCTAACCAGTGATTGCAATCAACAAACAAGTGTGGCTCTGATGTGGATGCTGGTGTACATTTTCATTATTGTTAGGAGTAAGATGAAAATTGAAACTACAGAGACATATGTTGGGGCTTCATTCATTTGTCAGTGGTGTGAGTAACTTCTGGCTGAATAGGATCATAGTTTTTCAAACACTGGGAGACTATTTTATGTGGTATTCACAATGTAGTAGCTAAATTGAATCTTCATTACTTCTCATCACTTTTATAAGTCTGACTACTAACAGTAGGTCAAGCACTCATTTTTAGTGTTGTTAGTGTTGTTGTTGTTGTTGGACTTAGGGGTACACTGTGGCATTTACAAAAGTTCTTACAATATGTCGTAATTGCATTTACCCCTCCATCATTATCCTTTCCCCCTCCTAGTGTTATCTTGATTTTGTGGTTTATTATAATTATTTCCACTACCGTCAACTTTAAGCCCCCAACATGATGTCATTGGACTGTTAAAAAGAGGAACAGTAACGCACCCTTCTATAGAATTTCTACCATGCATACACAATCGATTAAATAAACTCAAGAGCAGCGATAATAGTAAAAAGTAAAAAAACAATTGGGAAATGGCAAGCATGTGCTATTTATGATACTTGTTTTTAAGATAAGTCACTGAGCTACAAATTTATGTAAATGAATTTTTTTTCTTTTGATGGTACTGGGGTTTGAACTCAGGGCCTCTGCTTGCTAGGCAAGTGCTCCAGCACTTGAGCTACATCTCCAGCATATCTAAACTGAATTTTTAATAATGATTGTATTTAAAACCAGCTCTCACAACTTTCAAAAATTTAATAACTGACTATCATAGTCTGGCATGATCTGACTGCTGCACACTGCTGTGGCATAATTACACACTTACAGAAGGGATGATGAAGGACATATTGTTCTGTACTTTGGTTTTTTAACTTAAGATATGTTTGATCTTGGAGCGGTGGCTCATGCCAGTAATCCTAGCTATTCTGGAGGCAGAGATGGGGAGGTTTGTGGTTTAAGGCCAGCCTGGGCAAAAAGTTCCCAAGACTTTATCTCAACTCAGTAAAGGCTGGATACAGTGGCATATGCCTGTCATTCCAGCTATGTGGGGGAAGCATAAATAGGAGGATTGTGATCCAGACAGGCCCTGGACATAAACGCAGACCCTATTGGAAAAATACCTACAGCACAAAGGGTTTGGGGTGCGTGTTGTTCAAGCCTGCAGGCGCAACACCCTGAGTTCAAACCCCAGTACCACCACAAAAAAGAAATGTTTGGGAGATCTCCCTCTCAGTATATACATAGTTCCCTTATTAATTTTAACAGCCACATTGTATTAATCTCAGACATTTAGTGCATGATCTGTTGAACTGTATTCTGCTAGTTGGCATTTAGGTTGTTCTCTATTTTTGTTATATTCTAAATGGTAGCAGGGACTGCCCTTGGAACTTTGTCCACAGCTTTCTAAATATAACTATGTCTCAAATTTCTAGATGTAGAATCACTGAATCAAAGAGTATATAAGCTTTATGTTTTGATGGATATTACCAAATTGTCTTCCTAAAATCTTGTACCAACTTAAATTGGCAGTTATTACCTCAGAAATTCTGGTCAAGGTTAAGTGTTTGAACCAGAGATCACAGTGTGTGGTAATATTTTAGAATTTATAAGCCATTTGTAAAATTTTTTCCATTTTCAGAAAAGCTGAAGGAACTAGAAAGTATTTCCACGGATCCCAGCAACAAGAACCCGAAACTCAGAGACCTCTACTTGATCTTACAAGAAGAATACCACTTAAATCCAGAGACAAAAACCATTCTCTTCGTGAAAACCAGAGCCCTTGTGGACGTAAGCCTTCTTTTTCACTGTGGATAACAAATTGACCTAGTAGCATTTATTGAAAGCATTGCCTTTTCCTTACTGCTCTGCAATCAAGTACACTATATGTGTGGGTCTGTTTTGATTGCCTATTTATTCTTAGGCTTAATACCTCGCTGTCTTAAGTATGTCTTAACATCTGAGCACTTCATTCTTCTTTGTACTTTTAAGTCACATTATAAAATTCTAGCCATTCTATGGGTGTGTAATGGTATCTCTCTGGGAGTTTCATTTGCATTTTATTAATGACTTCATATGGTTAAACATCTTTCATAAGCTTATTAGTCATTTTAAATCATCTTTGATGGAGTGTGTCAGATTGTTTTCACCCATTTTAAAATTGGGCATGGCATGGCAGTGTGCATCCGTAATCTCAGCTACTCAGCAGAGGGATCACAAGTTCAAGGCCAACCTGGGCAAAGTTAGTGAGACCCTACCTCAAAAACAAAATAAAAACAAAAGGGCAGCAGGTGTAGGTCGAGTGGTAGAGCACTTGCTGAGACTTACTGAGGCGCTGGGTTCAGTCCTTAGTGCCACAAAAACAAAATAAAACAAACAAAAAATGTGATAAAATTGGGCTGTTGGGCTGGGACATCACCTAGGTGAGGCGGCTGAGTACTTGCTTGAATATGTGAGGTCCCGGGCCGGATCCCCAGCACCACAAAGAAATTTGAGTTATCATATCATCGAATTTTTTAATATTCCTTTTATATTCTGACAAAAAAGTTCTTAGTGAGTTGTATGTGATTTATAAATATGTTCTTCTTGCCTTTAGCTTGTTTTTTCAGTGTTTTAATAGCATCTCTTGCACACTGTAAGTTTTAAGTTTTGATAGTCCAATTTACTGTCTTTTTTTTTTTTCCTGGATTTTGCCTGTGGCATTATATCTTTGCTTACGTAAGGTCACAATTTCTCTGTTACCACCTGAAATTTTATAGTTTTACATTTTGTATTTAGGTCTACAATCCACTTTGCGTTAATTTTTGTATAGTATGGGGTATGGGTTGAAATGCTTTTTTTTTTTTCTTTTCAAACATGGACATGCTATTGTTTCATCATTGTATGTTGACAAGACTATCCTGTTTCCATTGAATTGACTTTTTAGCTTTTTAAAAAAATCAATTAACTGTGTTTATATGATCTGTTTCTGGACTCTCCACTCTTTCTCTCTGATCCATACATTTCTCTTGATTATTGTAGTTTCGTGGTGAGTCTTGAAATGGGTTAGCATCAGTCCTTCAACTACTTGTTCTGAGTTGTTTGGCCACCTTCCTTTGCCTTACCATATACATTTTAGAATCAGGTTGTCATCTATGAAAAAGTCGGCTCAGATTTTCTTTGGGATTGCATCGAATCTATCGATAAAATTGGGGAGAAATGATATTGTAACGATGTCAAGTCTTCAAAGCCATGACCAGGGTATATCTCTTTATTTTTATAGGGCTTCTGTATTATTTATCTATTTCTGAATAACAAATTACTCCAAAACATAAGAGTCAGGATCTAGCACTCATTATCTGATAATATCCATGGGTCAGGGACTTCACTGGGTGTTTCTGGCTCATGGTCTCTCCTGAGGCTGCAATCAAGGTGCCGGACGTTCTCTCAAGACTTGTCTAGGGATAATCAACCTCCTATCGTCCATCCTCAGAAGGACTATGTGCTTCCGAGTGTACTTTTTTGGGCCTCTCCACAGGCCTGCCTAATGCCATCACGATGAACTGAGACAGAGCCAGGGAAAGAGTACCTAATCTTGGAGTCACAGTCATTTTAAAAGAGTTCACTTTGGAGTTGACGTCCCACCACAGCTGTTGTACTCATTAGAAGCAAGTTACGAGGTCCAGCTCAACTCTAGGGAGGGGATGACACAAGGCTTTGAAAATAGGAGGTCACTGAAGGCTACCTCAAAGGCTGATTTTATCAGTGTTTTGTCACTTTCATTTTTTATTATTTATTTTGGTGGTACTGGGGTTTGAAGTCAAGGCCTTATGCTGGTTAAGCGGGTGCTCCCCTGCGTGAACCACATCCCCAGATCTTTTTGCTTTAGTGATTTTTTGAATAGGGTCCTGTGTTTATTTCCCAGGCCAGCTTGGACAGTGATTTTTCTGTTTATGCTTCCCATGTAGCTGGAATGACAGGGCTCCTAGCTTTATTGGTTGAGGTGGAATCTCACCAACTTTTTGCCTGGGCTGGCCTCTAACCATGATCCTCCCTATCTTACCCTCCTGAGTAGCTAGGATTATAGACATGAGCAACCATATGCAGCTAGTTTTAAAATTCTTATTTAATTTTTTGGCAGCACTGTATTTTTTTTTTTTTCAGAACTGGGGTTTGAACTCAGGGCCTTATGCTTGCAAGATGCTCTACCATTTGAACTATGCCCCAGCCTATTTTGCTTTAGTTATTTTTCAGATACAGTCTGTGTTTTTTTGTTTTTGTTTTTGCCCAGGGTTGGCCTTGGACTGTGATCCTCCTAGCTATACCTCCCAAATAGCTGGAATTATAGAAGCATGCCACCACAGCCAGCTTATTTCTTGAGATGCAGTCTCAGTAATTTTTTTGCCCCCTGGCCTCAAACGCTGATCCTCCTGATCTCGGTCTCCTGAGTGGCTGGTATCACCAAGTGAGCCACTGTGCCCAGCTGTGTTGCCATTTTCAGCATAGAAATCCTGCATGTTTTGTCAGATGTATACCTAGTGATTGATTTTTTTATGCAATGGTGAGTGATACTTTAAAATAATTTCAAATTCCAATTGTTTGTTGCTAATATTTTGAAACACAATTGATTTATGTTTATTGCTCTTATATCCTGTTGTTTTGCTGGTCTCACTTATTAATTCTATGCACCTACTATTTTGAACTTTGCTTTTTTCACTTAAATGTATCTTAGAGATGAAATCACAGTAGGTCACAGAGATCTATACTGCTGGAATTATTATTGCATAGAGTTCAGGAAGGTTTGTCAGTCTGAAATCCATCTGTATACTAACTTCAAGTTTATTTTCTTTTTGTATAATTTTTTTTTTTACGATACTAGTACTAGGGTTTGAACTCAGAGCTTACACCTTGAGTCACTCCACCAGCCCTATTTTTGTGAAGAGTTTTTTTGAGATAGGATCTTGTGGAACTATTTGCCCAGGCTGGATTCAAACCATGATCCTCCAGGTGCGCTACCAGATGTGAGACACCTGTGCCCGGCTGTATAAATTTCAATTTTGAATTGATACAGAGGGCTTACAAGTAGTGTCCAACTAATTGTTTTTCATTTTCAGGCTTTAAAGAAATGGATTGAAGAAAATTCTGCACTCAGCTTTCTAAAACCTGGCATATTAACTGGACGTGGCAAAACAAGTCAGGCAACAGGTATTTGTAGTGAATCAGGCTTGGTGTGTTTTATCTGTACTATGCATAGTATACTATTCTTTTTAAATGCTTATGTCAGTCAGGAAAACCAGTAGATTATCTACAATATGGTGTGTGTATGTGTACTCATGTGTGTGTGCATACACGTAGACATTTCTTTAAAAGAATTGGGCTTGCAAAGCAAGTCTGAGATCTGTAGGGCAGGCAGTCAGGAGGTGAAGACCAGAAACAGGTTGGAACCCTACACAACCATGAGCCGTTTGAAGTCTCTGAGCTCAGGCAAGGCCTAACCCCTCAATTATAACGATCACTTGAATAGGTCAGGCCCACCTAGAATGAATCCTGTTTTTATCTAACTTAAAGTCAACTGATTAGAGATTTTAATCACATCTGCAAAATTCCTTCATGGCAGCACCTAGATGAACAACTAGGAACCACAGTGGCTGCATTGGAATGCCATTGCTCAAAAACCCAAACATACTAGTCTCCTTCCATGCAGAAAATTGTTTCCTCTCATATCCTTTGGACAAAGCCAAAGTTGTTTTAAAAATACTGTTTGAGCACTTCCCTCTCCTCAAATTCTCAACCAACAGATTTAAGATGAACTAGAAATAGAAATGTTCTACTTCTATTGTATTGTTATTCTTTAAACTGTAGATGCACAGTTTTTTTGGTCTACTATGTATTTTATAGTTTTAAAAATGTCCAAGCAGGAAACCCTGAAATTTAGCAAGGACGGTCAAAGAATGAAGGGAGGACCCTAGTGACCAGTCATCATCCTGATCCCCTCAGAGGAATGTCTCATGAACTACTTCATGACCCATGCTGACAGGTCCCTTTCTGCTCTTCCCTTAGTGTTGTTTATATTAAACAACCCTCCTCATGCCCACCCTCCCAGTCCTCAGTCATCGCTTGTACTTGTGGCATTTTTAAACTTCATGAATATAAAAAGTAGATTCAGATTTTGAAAGTGTGGCTTACCAAATAAAGCCCAACACCATCTTGGTATGGTTGAAATTCAAAATTTTCTGCAATCTGTCTAATATGAGTCCAACTGGATTTTCAAACTTTGCTCTTCCCCTACAAGTAGATGCTTATAAATTATTTTCTTAATTTGTCTATCCATCCATCCACCACCTTTCCTACCTCCCTTTCTTCCACACATCCATCCTTCCATCCATCCATGCAACACATACTTACAACTTACTGTGCCAGGCATTGTGTTTCTTCCTATCTTCTGAAAACTGAGATGCCCTTCCTCCACATTCCTGTGACCTCTAGTTCTGCCACTGTGTCATTGTTCATCCCATCGAAAACAGCCTCCTGTCTGTATCCTTCCTCAAAACATGAGTTTCTTCTCAGTAACAAAAGAATCTTTAATCATCATATTCTTATCTGGCAACCTTAATCCATGTTTGCTCAATAAACATTAGATGAACAAATTAGATGGATTAGAATGATTTTGACTAACTTTTCTGGTCTGTTCCTCTTCCTTTCATAGTTAAACTAGAAAAGTTGTGAACTTGTACAAAAAGCTGCAGGTAAATCAGCAAAAGTTGTTCACTAAGTCTGAATATCCATGAAATGCTCTTTTGATTTTTTCAACCATTTAGAAAGAAAAATATTACTTTCAGTTCAAGAACCATTCAAAAGTAGGCAGTAAGCCAGATTTTGTCATTAACATTAACCCAATGAGCTAGGTATTATTAGTTTTTCATTTGTATGAATAAAATAACCTGTATTTTCACAAAATAGGAAATAAATGGCAACAGAAGTGGGAATTTGGATACTCAGACAATTTAAATTTAGCCTCCAAGGTCATAGAATATTAGAAGGCAGGAGGTAGCTTTCTTAGTCAAGGTCTTTTTTCCATCCCAAACAGAACCTCACTTAGGCCAGTCCAAGCAGAATGGGGGTGCACAGATTATCAGGTCTACATAGAACCCGTGACCAGGAAGTACACTTGGGCTTCACAGACATTTGCAACTGAGAATGAACAGTCATCTGAATCCTGCACATTGGTTTCATGGGCCCAATATGGTTCAAATGCTTGTTTCAACCTAGTAGCTACAGCCAGGGAAAAAGGCTCTGTATAAATCAGAGTAATCTAGATTAGATTCCAACAAATGACTTCCAAGGATGTAACACAGTAGAAGTTATCATTTGCTTACATCACAATTCAAGTGTAGACAGGTGAATGTGGGGCCTTTGTTTCATGTACCTCCACTCATTTAGGGATTCCAGTTCTTTCCATGTTATGACTCTCTCATCCTTGGGGGCCTATAAATCCTGTAACCTTACCTAGCCTGCTGATGTGGAATAGCAAGAGTATGGACAATTTTTAGGGGTCAGATTTGGAAGAGACACACACTACTTCTGTCTTCATGTCATTAGAATTTAACCACAGGCTCCATCTACATGCAAGGGAGGCTGGGAAGTCTTATTTATCTATGTACTCAGCAAGAGAAAGAAACAGGATTTGGTGAACAGTGTTGTCCCTTTTATAGAGAACTATAATACAACAATATCTATCTACCCAGATTTTCACCCCTGACGGTGTGGCAGCCCTCATCTATAAAGAGGAATCATAACATAGGCCCCACTGATCCAAGAGGCCTTTGTAAGGGCTGGTATAGTCTTAAGTGGTAGAGTACCTGCCTAGCAAGCGTGAGGCCCTAATTTCAAACCCCAGTATCCCCAAATCCATCTATCAATCAATAAAAGGCCTTTTTAAATTTCCTGTGACTGGGTATGAAAATGTTTTGCCAGCTGAAACTTCTATATGCATGTAAAGATATTACTAGTACCTATTGATATTTTGCAAAAGGGTCAATATTTCAGTATTTATTTTTGGAATAGTATGGTTTAAAGTAGGTGCCAGAACTTAGATTTGAACTCAGGTGGTATTGTGGTAGAGTCCCAGCTAAATGTCCTCTGTAAAAAATACATGGGAATAGATTTTATTGCCTAGGGTTGTTTGGAGATGAATATTAAGCACTTACCACAGTACCTGGCTTGTGATAAGCATTCCCTAATTAATAGCTCATTTTTTAAGAGGAAAGCTCTCATTAATAAGTTGTATAATGTCCTCTTGTTCTGATGCAGGAATGACCCTCCCAGCACAGAAGTGTGTATTGGATGCATTCAGAAACAATGGAGATAGTAATATTCTGATTGCCACCTCGGTTGCTGATGAAGGCATCGACATTGCTCAGTGCAATCTGGTCATCCTGTATGAGTACGTGGGCAATGTCATCAAAATGATCCAAACCAGAGGTGAGAGAAGAGAAGCTTTGATGCCATTGCTACATGGCTCCCATTTTGGTTTGTGAATGTGTTTGTCATTTTGGCCTTTCTTCTTTGCTGAGCCATGATTGAATATGTGCTCAATGGCACACTGGACTCTAGTACCATAGGTCCAAAGGCTGACTTTCTTGTTCAAGATTGGGTTGTGACAGTTTTGCCCACTGACTTAAATCCTCTTGTGATTCTTGTTCACAATGGCACCACTTACTTGCCCAGCTCTGACTGGCATATTTATGAAAGGATAATTCCAACTTGGATTAAGGCTTTGGCAGTCAATGTGTAGACCTTTCATAGTTGGGGGCTGGTGGCTCCCTGTTTTCTAAGGCAGGCAGAGCCCTATATCATTGTCTAGATTCAGCCATTCCTTGGCTTAACTTTTTTCACTAAGCTCCTCCTATGCAGGGAGCTTTGCTCTCCTTTCAATGAACTTTGTACTTGATTTACTTTTAACTGCTGGTCTGGCATCTTCTATCATCAACTACACCAGGACACAAACTCAGATCAGTAATCCAGTACCAGTTCTTCAGTCCCACCTGGACTAGAGAGTCTTCTTACTAGTTTCCCTTCCTTTTTGCCCTTTCCCCCACAATTTCTATAAGAACAGCTGCCACTTTACTCTTCCCTGAGAAACATCTCCGAGCATGTCACCACCTTGTGTAGAAAGTTCAAGATTTTCCAAAATCCAGCACCTACTTATCTTCCTAACCTATTTCTATTCTCCTTCTATGTTCATTATCCAATTCAGCCCACCAGACTTTGTTAATTGCTTGTTGAAAGTCGCTCATGTTGACACTCTTCATTTTACTTTCCCTCTGCCTCCATCTCATCTGATCCCAATTCCTTCAGCTGGAATAATCTGTCTTGTGAATGCCCATAACCCTTTATTGGTCTTTATCATAGCACTTAGAATTTTCCACCCATGTTCTGGTACTAGTTCTCATTACCTAGAAGGCTCTTGAAGGAGGGGAAGATCTATTTATTATTCATCTTAGGGTTCTTACAGTGTCATACTGAGGGTTCATGTTGGGTTATTTTTAAAGCAGAGTTTCTGACCGTATGGCTGCCCAATTACACTGGGAAACCCGAAGAAAGCCGCCTTAAGGTGGGTACCCAGTTTATCTGCATGTTTAACATGTAGGTGGATACCTGCATTCGAGTCCATTCTTGACAGTTTAGCTTTTCTAGGAAAGAGAATTCAGTTCAACCAAAGTTGAATTTTAGGACTACTTCTATCCCTTTGTTTACTTATTCTCATATTGTATCAGAGTTTTACGTCAAAAACACCAAATAATTATTTTCCTATAGGCAGAGGAAGAGCAAGAGATAGTAAGTGCTTCCTTTTGACTAGTTATGCTGATGTAATTGAAAAAGAACATATGAACATATACAAGGAAAAAATGATGAACAAATCCATTTCGAGACTTCAGAAATGGGATGAAGCAAAATTTGAAAAAACGGTAAGTGTTTTCATTTGTGTCACTCTTAGCATCTGACCACAAATAACAAACAGGGAACATGCATGTGGCTGTTACCTTTTGTCATACTGGTTAGAATGTTTTATTAGAGCAGTAGGTTTATGTTTCAAGTTTTGGCCTGCAGTGAACAATAAATTTGTTTCTACATGTCAGTGAGACTGAAATAGATTCTATGCTAATACCCAATGTTCTGTCTTTAGATCTAAAAGGCAAACTGAGCTAGATTTGCTCTTGAAAGTTCTTGAGGAAGTTGTCATGTTCTCTCCTCTTTCATGATGGTTCAAGATTTTTTTGAAGACAGGTACTGGCTTCAAAGTAGATAATCCTATCTACTTTGGGAGGCTGAGATTGGGAGGATTAAGGTTTGAGGACAGCCTGGGCAAATAGTTCTTAAAAACTCATCTACAAAATAACCAGAGCAAAACAGATCGGAAGTGTGGCTCAAGTGGTAGAACGTCTGCTTTGCAAGCACAAAGCCCTGAGTTCAAACCTCAGTCCCAATAACAACAAAAAAATTACTAAAAAGTCATTTCTTTCTATCATTTTAGGATAGGTGTGCTGGTGACAAATTCTTAGTTTCCTTGAGCATATCTTGATTTTCCTTTTATTCTTAAGGGGTACACTTGGTAAGTATAGGTACAGGGGTGACAGTTCTTTTAGCATTTGAGAACTATTGTGCTGCTTTCCTTGTGGTCTCCTGGTTTCTGATGAGAAGTCACCTGTTGTTCAGATTACTTTTCCCCTAGGGGTAAAGGTATTTTTTTGGGTTGCTGTAAAGATTTATTTCTTTGTCTTCAGTTTTTAAACGTTTAATTATAATGTACATTGGAGTGAATTCCTTTGGTTTATCCTGTTTTTTTTTTCTTTTTCTTCACCTTTTGTGACTCTGTAAATTTATGTTCCTTGTTAAATTTGGGAGCTGTTCAGCTGTTATTTCTTTGAGTTCTTTTTAAGTCCTGTTCTCCTCTTTCCTTCCAGGACTCCAGTGACATGAGTATTAAACAGCTCTATGGGTCCCTGAGGTTCTGCTCTTTTTTTTCAGTCCATTTTCTTTCTGTTGTTCAGATTGAACTTGGATAATCTTTCCTTGGTTCCTTTCAGTCTGCTGTTGAGTCTTTTATTTTGGTTGTGAGCCTTGTATATCTTTTTATATTTTAAGAGTATAATTTTACATTAAAAAAGTGTTTGATTGCCCACTGAAGCATTTTTATCATGGGTGCATAAAATCTTTATCTCAAAATTCAAATATCTTTGTCATCTCAGTGGTGACATCCTTTGTCCTTTTTTCATTCAGTTTGAGGTCTTCCTGTTTCTTGGTATAAAGAGTGCCTTTTGATTGAAACTCAAGACATTTTCATATTATGAGACTCTGAATTTTATTTAAAATAACCTGCGTTAGCTGCTTTTTCTGACACTGCTCTGCCACGGAGAAGTTTCCTACCCTGCTTCTATTGATACTAGTAAATGGAGGCAGGAGAGGTTTGCTTGTTACTGCTGGGTGGAGGTGGGAGTTTTTCCCCACCTTATCAACACTGTGGGTGATACCAGCTAACCAAGATGAATATCCTGACTTAGCCTTCTCTGACACACCCAGGTGTTGGGTTACCTCATTACAGCCTGTAGGTTGGAAACTCAGCTCCCTACTTGGTCTGTGCTGGCATGGGTGGGGCTTGGGCCACAGGGTTCTTCTACCCACCATGGAGTGAAGCAGTTATTGTCTAAAGGTTTTCTGTCTGCTAGATGCCCTATGTTGAGGGAGAGCACGTTTTTGTTGAGAAGTTTTTGTCTCCACGTATAGGCTTTTCAGTTTCTTCACTTCCTAGTCTGAGACCTAATTAGATAAAAAGAAAACTCAGGAAACTTGCCATGTTGTTCCTAGGGTCCTGCGATTCCTAGCTGGTCTGTCCTCCTCTCTTCAGAATCTGTTTGTTTTATACGTAATGCACAAGGTTCAGAGTTGTATTTAGTTAAAGTCTAAATTTTGAATTAAGATACAGTCACACTATATATACATTAAGGTCAAGTTGGTACAGTGCCTGCCTAGCAAGCTCCAGGCTCTCCCAGTACTGCTAATAAATAAATTTAATTAAAAAATTAAAAAATACAGTAAACGCTGCTAGAATTCAGCATTATTTTCTATGGTTGAAGGGGTTAAAGAAAAGATTTGGGTGGTGGGGCTACTCTTCCTTTGGTTCCCTTCAATTGGTTTATGTCCAGCCTGGGGTATAATTATGCTTGAAACAGTCTATATTATGTATCTATCTGTAAAGGATTTCTAAAGTGTTGCCAATAGCTAAAGTAGAAAGCATCACTCACATAGTCATGGGAGTGCCCTGAGTGTTGTGAATAGCTTCAGTGCGTTTATGGGCATCTTTGAGGAAGAGACTGAGAGACTAATTGGAAGCAGTAGTTAAAACATTGACTAATATAAAGTCAGGAGAACCACTAAAATTATGTGTGGGATGTTTACAAACAAAATTCTACAAGTAGGTTGTATGTCCATGGAACATGTATGAATCATTGGGCTAGTCATACTCAGAATTACGTTTATGAGGTTTTTTCTTTTGGCATGTAGGTTCATGATATACAGATTGAGGAAAAATCCATCAGAGATAGTCAACAAAAACCAAAACCTGCCCCTGATAAGAAAAACAAAAAACTGCTCTGTGGCAAGTGTAAAGTCTTGGCATGTTATACAGATGATATACGAGTGATAGAGGTAAGCATCCTTTTATAAAAAACAAGTGCCTGGTTATTTTTTAGTCTTAGTTAAAATTCACTATCTACTGGTGAAGTATCAATAGGAAGAATACTATTATTTCTGTGCCCATGGTCCATGTATTAAAAATTTTTTTGTTTTTTTTGCTAAAAAAGTTGATCTTATAGAAGTACAGAATGTGGTCACTAGAGGTGAGGAAGGGGGGTGGGAGGGGAGAAAAGAGGTCAGATAACAGGTGCCAAAATACAGTTATATGGGAGGAATAACTTTTAGCATTCCATAGTATGTTAGGGTGACTATAGTTTATAATAATTGATTACATATTTTATAAAGAATTAGATGAGAAGAATTTGAAGGTTTACAATTCAAAGCAATGATGTTTAAGGATATGGAAATGATAACCACCATGATTTGATCATTATACATTATACATATATATGGAATTATCACACTGTATCACATATGTATACACAGTTGTATGTCAATTAAAGGTAAAAGATCAAAAATAGTTTTTAGAAACTGCTGCCACTAAAGTATTATTCAGTTATTACAATTAATGGTTATGCTTAATGCAACATGGTATTATTGATTAGATCCTGGAACAGATAAAGGATTTTATTAGAAAAAATATAGTTTAGTTAATGGTAAGAGTAATGTACTGATGTTAATGTCTTATTTTTAACAAATGTACTACGGTACATACGATATTACATTTGCAGAAACTGGGTCAGATGTATACAAGAAATTTCTGTGGTATCTTTGTAATGTTTCTGATCATCTAAAATTATTCAAAAGTAAAACTTATTTAAAAACACAGTTATGAAGTTTATGTAGCATAATAAAAAACTGCTTACAAACTCATTGTAACATGGGAAAAATAATCTGGATGTTATTCCTTTAGTTGCATAAAATACCAGCAATACCAGCAATACCATTACCACGACCACCAAGAAAAAAAACCCCTATCTTTGTAAAGAAGAAAGACTAAAGGAAATGTACAAAATGTTAATATTCTGGTGGTGAGATTCCATGACTTTTTCTTTCTACTGTTTTGTGTTTTCTAAACTTTCTTTTGGGAATAAGGAATATTTTTATTAAGAAAATATAGTATCATTTTTAAAATGTGACACTTGCAGGTTAGCCTTCCATTTTTTTTTTTCTTAAAACATTTAGTTGAAGGGTTAGAAAATCTCCAAAGACAAACATTGGGTGTAACTACTGCTACTAACAGAGAGCAGGTGGAGCGGCTGGGCCAGCCAGAGGACCAGTTATTATTGGAGGCTTCCTTTTGGTCTTCAGAAAACTGAAATCTCACCAGCCCAACTGTTCGAGCAAGAAGCATATTTGGAGTATTAAAAAATTTTTAGTGTGATTCTTTAACTTATAAAAAGGTTTTTGCAGCTCCAATTTGAATGGCTTGTTGATAGTGGCCCTTTTAGATTTTAGGCTATTTTCCTAGAGGACTAAATGTTGGATCTGCTTGCTTCTGTGCAGTGTACTCTAGTCAACTGTAGGCAGGACCTGTCAACATTCTTCAGATGCACACTGCCTCTTTGCTGTTCTTCCATGTGTCCTAGGAATTGTGCCTGTCAGGCTACCTGGCAAACTTGTACTTCACAAATCTTCAACAACTCTCCCTTTTGTTTCCAAATTAATGACAAGTGTTCACTTTCAGGAGCTAGATTTTCCCCGACTGTATAAGAGATCAGGTGAATGGATCCTAATATGATCTTCAGGTGACTCTGTAGTTCATTTTCCCACTGTAAAAGAAGTGGGATTCCACCTACTTTTCATCCCAGGTTATTGTGGATTTTTTTTTTTTAAATTATAATTGGGGATTGCTTCTGATTGTCTCTCGTGTGTTGTTTTTCTCATCTTAGGAATCCCACTACACTGTAGTTGGATGTGCTTTTAAGGAGCGATTTGTGAGTAAACCACATCCCAAACCAAAGAAGTTCGGAGGTTTTGAGAAGAAAGCAAAGATCCTCTGTGCCAGACACAACTGTGGCCATGACTGGGGAATCCATGTGAAGTATAAGACACTTGAGATTCCAGTCATAAAAATCGAGAGTTTTGTAGTAGAGGATATTGCAACTGGAGATCAGACACGGTACTCAAAGTGGAAGGACTTTCATTTTGAGTGGATACAATTTGCTGCTACAGAAACACCCAAATGACTATCTTAGGGTCCCAGTCTTTTGTGTTAGGGAATGGTGACTTTTAGTGAAGAAGAAATTGACCATTGGGTACAATCATGGATTGCTATACCTCTGTGAAGGTATTTTGTGTAAGGCCTATGCTGTTTAAATATTTATCGGTTAACTTCACCTTCTGTTTGTTTTCAACAGTTTGCACCATATATATGCAAAGCATACTTTTGGGAGAACTGTAGCAACTGAATACTTTGTAGGTCAACAGAACTTACAGTACTTGGGGAAAAGAAAAAAAATCTTGTTTCTGTCCTTTTCAGAACCTACTGCCAGTGATCACAGTAGCTACTGGACACACTTGGGATGAAATGAGTGATGGAATGTTGAAAGGTTTTCCACGCCTCCCTTTCTTTCCTTAACTTACAGTAAACTGGAACAATCCCTGAAACTGCTCTTTTCAAGGTGGCCAGATTCACTGAGCCCTCCTTGGTTCTTCTATTTGACCTCTTTGCTGCCTGTAACCCCAGCTACTTGGGAGGTGGAGATTGGGAGGATTGCTGTCTGGCCTTAGGCCTGAGACCCTATCTGAAAAAAAATAACTAAAGGGGTTGAGGGCATGGCTCAATGGTAGAGTGTCTGCCTAGCAAGTGCAAATCTCTTAGTTCAAACATCAAAAAAAGGAACAAAAAACGCTCTTGTTTTGCTTCTATCTTTTCTAGTTCTCTCCCAGTTTTTTTAAATTGGTTCCTCTTTGCTGGTACATTAAGTATATATAATTTGTATACATAGGTATTAACATATATGTACTCATGTTTTCTTTACAGTAATATGTGGATGATAATTTTAAAACCATAGTAGAAAGCTTTTAGTAGCAAGAACACATCAACCAAGTATCTTTAGTTTACTGTACATTTTGTTCTTTTTGGGGGGAGGTGTGGTAGGTAGGCACTCTACCACTTGAGTCACTCTGCCACCCCCAATTTGTTTGCTTAACATATTCCATTTTCCCCTCTGAATCATAATTTCAAATAATCGTTGATGTTTAAGATCACCTATTTTCAGTTAAGTCCCATGGATGATGCAGTTTAGTTTGGCTGTCTTTTCTACTTAAATAGTTGGAATATGTGTCTCTGTTTGCTAATGCTTCAGAGAGCTTAGTTTGGGGCATTCTAGACATGGAGCCAAGAACCTGAGTTTTGTTATTTTCACCAGAAGAACGTATTTTGTGTTCAGCTCAGGATAGGAGTTACAGTAATTTGTAGATGCTATCATAATTTAAGCAAGCATCTTCCTAAAACAGATTAGGCATTTGTAGTTCATTGGGACTATCAATGGTCTAAATAAAACTTAAAGAGATCACAAAGTATTAATAGTATGTTTAGCACATATGACAACCACTCTGGAAAAAAATTTGGAGGCTACTTAAAAAGCTAGACATTGATCTATCATTTGATCCAGCAATACCACTCTTGGGGATATAACCAAAAGACTGTGACACAGGTTACTCCAGAGGCACCTGCACACCCATGTTTATTGCAACAGTATTCACAATAGTCAAGTTATGGAAACAGCCAAGATGCCCCTCCAATGACGAATGGATTAAGAAAATGTGGTATCTATACACAATGGAATTTTATGCAGCCATGAAGAAGAACGACATGTTATCATTTGCTGGTAAATGGATGGAATTGGAGAACATCATTCTGAGTGAGGTTGGCCTGGCCCAAAAGACCAAAAATCATATGTTCTCCCTCATATGTGGACACTAGATCAAGGGCAAACACAACAAGGGGATTGGACTTTGAGCACATGATAAAAGCGAGAGCACACAAGGGAGGGGTGAGGATAGGTAAGACACCTAAAAGATTAGCTAGCATTTGTTGCCTTAACGCAGAGAATCTAAAGCAGACACCTTCAAAGCAACTGAGGCCAATAGGAAAAGGGGACCAGGAACTAGAGAAAAGGTTAGATCAAAAAGAATTAACCTAGAAGGTAACACACATGCACAGGAAATTAATGTGAGTCAACTCCCTGTATAGCTATCCTTATCTCAACCAGCAAAACCCCTTGTTCCTTCCTATTATGGCTTATACTCTCTCTACAACAAAATTAGAAATAAGGGCAAAATAGTTTCTGCTGGGTATTGAGGGGGTAGGGGGAGAGGGAGGGGGCGGAGTGGGTGGTAGGGGAGGGGGTGGGGGCAGGGGGGAGAAATGACCCAAGCCTTGTATGCACATATGAATAATAAAATAAAATAAAAAAAAATAAGGTTCTTCATTTCAGTAATTAGGAACCCCAAGTATTTTTACCCTAGGGAACACCAGTGAGGCAAATTTCTGATTTAATAATTTGTCATTATTAACTCTTACCCAATAGCTGCTGGCGGCCAGAGCCCCGGCACATGGACAGGCCTAGCATAAGCCAATGGAAGCAGCCACTTCACTACAGAGGCCAATGGAAGATAAATTGAGGGGGAAATGACAGGCAGGGAGTCTGAGTTTTAGTCACCAGAACCAATCAAGCCTGAGGCCATGACCACCACTGTTTTTTAAGTTACAGTTTACATTTTCCTTTTTGCTTAACTGATTTTAAGTTGTGCTTCTGTTAAACGCACATAACTAAGACAGTCATGACTAATATATTCTTCCTCCAGCTAACATTCTCCATGCAACATAAAAACAGTGTATGCCTACCTACATTTACGAAGGCCACCTTATAACCAAAGATGTGTATACCTACTTGCTGCATTGAATAAGTTTTCCACTTAACTCACTGTGTATGTCAAGGAATGTTTGTGTCTCCTTGGGAGAAATAAGGTAGTAATGGAGTTGGAAACCAAAAGACAGGAGTTGAGACTCCTATATAGAAGAAGGGGACTAAAACCAGCATGTGCTGTTTATTTTTAATTGGAGAGTAAGAGGCCCAGTGCCTTCTTAAGTTATCGGGTAAAAAAGGCTTGTTGGTTCAGTTTTATTGTGGATCAGGATGGGATACTGGCCAAGATATGAAAAGGATGTATGGGGAGGGAGACGAGGGGAATTCAGAAGTGAAGAGAACCAATTCCAGAAGCCATGGTCATAAGAGTCTGTTTCCTCATAACCTCTGTCATAGTCTGTTCAGTTTGCTATAACAAAATTCCATACATTGGGTAACTTATAAACAACAGACTTTTCTGGAGGCTGGGAAGTCCAAGATCAAGTTACTGCACAGTCAGAGTCAGGTGAGGACCTATTTTATATTTCACAGATGGTTCCTTTTTTCTGTGTTCTCCCATGGTAGAAGAGGTGAGCAGCCTCTCTTGGGCTTCTTTTAAAAGGATACCAGTCCCATTCATGAGAGCTCTAACCCCATCATCCATGTACTTTCCAAAGGCCTTACCTCTTACTGTCATTATATTGGGCACTAGGATTTCAACAAATGAACCCTGTAGGGACACAAACATTCCAACCACAGCAACCACTGAATAGAGGGAGCTAGACAGTCAGATACTCAGTGATTGAGAGCTGGGAGGTAGAGGTCTGTCTTCTCAGCCTTTCTTAGCTTTTATGCTAGGACTGATCCCAAATGGAGGGCCACAGGCTTGTTTTATACCACAGGGCTGTTTGCAATTTTTATTTGTACACAAACTAGATTCCCAAGAATGTAATCTTAGAAGCAGGGATACTAAATAAACTGCCTCAATCTATCATCTGGCAAAGAGGTGTAAACAGGATTAGATCCCAGGGGTTCTGATGCCCAGGCTATGTCCCTAGTGCTCAAGTTGAGATTAAGAAATTCATCACATTGATTTATTTTCTCCTGTCCTTGGACATTAGAGCTCCTAATTCTTGGACTTTCAGACTCTGGGACTTATACCACTACCCCATGCATCTTCCAAGCTTCTCAAACTTTCAGACTTGGACTGAATTACACTATCAGCTTTCCTTGGGCTCCAGTTCTCAGACTGCAAATCATGGTAATTCTTGGTCTCCATAATCACCGTGAGAGGAACTGATGAAACCTGAGAAAGACAGAGGAATATGACTTTCCAGTGCTTATTCCCCACAGAAAAATCAATTTGAATAATTATCCATGCACAGAAATACCATCATAAGAGATACAGTTACCAGGTGAGAGATTATGGCACCTAGACATAGCACGGATATTTTAAAAGATGCATTGATAAGGGTAGGAAGAACTGTTTTATATTACTGGCACCACCCTTCCCTAAACCACAGGCAGCATAGCGTGGAGAGATACTCTTAAGTGTGAAGGAAGGAGAGAGAGGTGAACACTGGGATCTCCCTTAGACACAATGCCAGTCATCTGCCAGTAAAACCCAGTGTAGAGAAGCCCCCTGTGGTCCCAGACTCCAAGTCTGCAGAGTAAATGCAGTTTCTAGGCTCACTAAATTACTATGGACTCAGGTTCTAGGCTACCTGACAGCCACACTGGTCCTGCCACCAGATTGGCCATTACAGGCTTCAGGCCTGTTCTAGCACTGGGCCAGCTAGGCTCATCTCAATAGAACCTAGTGGTGGAAAGGCCTTCATGGAACTGTACTTTAGGACTGCACTTGTGAACCCATTTCTAGGACAGTCCTCACTGATCTAGCTTCTAGGCCAACCTCAGTGGTTTCAGGTGCCAGGCCTGTACTCACAATCCAGTGCTCCACACCAAACCCCATGGACTCAGGTTTTATGCCTGCCCCAGCACCATGGGTGGCCCAAGACTCTCTAGTGGACCCAGGGTCCAGGCCCACTCAAGTGGATGCTGGTGCCAGAGCAACCACTCATGGAGAGATTCTAGGACTACCCCTGTAAATCTTCAGCTACCCCCTGCAGATTTAAGGATCACCACTAGTGCCATCAGCCCCTGTGGACCCATCACAGTGGACCGATGCTCTAGCCTAACCTGGTCTACCACCTGCAACCCAGATATCAGGGCAGTCTCTCCAAGGACTCCAGTAGCAAGCCCACCCATCCACCCTAGACAGCCTACTCAGAATCTTTGGGTGGGGTGACTGGTGGAGGGCATTCCAGACAAGGCAGTCTGCAAACACTGGAGTAAGTTCCTTGTTTTTCAAATGTGTGGATAACAGTGCATGGCCATAAGGATCAAGAGCAATGAAACAGGGGCCCACCAAAGGAGCAAAGTATAGCACTAGTCACCGGCATCAAAGAAATGAGGACTTAGGATCTCATAACAAATAATTCAAAATAGTTATTTTAAGGAAACTCAGGGAACCTCAAGAATATAGAGAAATAATTCAGTAAGATCAGGAAGATAATAAATGATGAAAAAGAGAAATTTAACTGACAGATTATAACTATTAAAAAATTAAATTCTGAATCTGGAAAACACAATCAATGAAGAAATGTGATGAAGTGTCAACAGCAAGATAAATTAAGCAAAAGAAAGATCTCTGAACTCAACAACAGGTTATTTCAAGATATAAAAGAAAAAGTACTGAAAAAGAATGAAGAAAGCTTATTTATAGGACAGCATCAAAACAAAATATTGAAGTTATAGGAATTAAAAAAAAAAGACAGATAAAGGGGTAGAAAGCTTATTTTTAAAAAAACAAAAAAATTTCCAAATCTGGG